AAATACAAGAAGGAAGAAAATGGTTCTAAAAACATTGTATTTATTTGTGTGTTGATGTACATGCGTAGAAGTTAAAGATCTGATGGAGTTATGTCTCTTAGACTGGGGATATTTTTATCGGAGCTCACGAAGTTGAATTAATTATTAAAATGTAGTTTTAGAAGAATAAAGTTCTTGTTGCATGTTTGTAATGTAGATTGGAAAAGTTCTTGTTGCATGTTTGTAATGTAGATTGGAAAAGTTCGTGAAGGTTCGTACGTACGTGAATGCGTGAATATGCTTTAACGTCTGACCGCCCATGGTCGAGACGAGAATGCTGAAGATCATATTTCATTCGAATTTGAAGAGTAAAAGGAGAATGATTGAAACTCGTGTCTGTTATTTATAGATAATGTAATCACGTGACAGGATCAAAAGAACTTGGTGGAAAACTTGACTTGGTCACGCGCTGGAAAAATATATTGTGCGTAGGTGGATTGCAACGCCCACTTGTGTGTTTATTGACCAATTAGAAGCTGATTAATTCTTGGAAATATTTACTAATCTGAGAAGGCTCCTGGTGTCCGTTTCTCCCAAAAGCGCACAAAATCGACTACATGAAAATATAGCGATTATAAAATTGTCGCATAGCTGCGATTTGTAAATTGTCTATTAGAAAGTAGTGTTGATTTATTATCCAATGAATTCTTGTTGTTGTATAATTTGAATTTGTGTAAGTATGTATGTATGTATGTATGTGTGTGTGTGTGTGTGATGATCATTACAACATTGGAATCATAATTCATTAGACCTACAAATTCAAAAAGAAATCGAAAGATATATTTTCAGATTTCTTTTTGAATTTGTAGGTCTGATGAATTGTATCATGATTACGATTGTAATATAATAAATTATAACCATGGAATATTAGTGTTTGAGCCTTATATATATATATTGAACAATAAAAAATATTAAAAAATTAAAATCTTCAGACACACTGGGTTGTAGATTAATATTCTTTCGTTTTTTATTATTATTTCATTTAGATTTCTCTCGACTAGTTTCGGCCAAAATGGCCATCATCAGGAGAAAAAATATTTTTGCTTGTTGGTAGCAGTAAACTACAGAAATGAATGTCTTGATGGAGAAAATGAACTTTTGTCTGTAGTTTTCATTTGTTTTTTTATTTTTTATCTTTTAACATGAATCTTTTAACATTCCTTGTGTTGGTCAAACAGCCTTTTTAAGTTGTTATTTAGATAAGAGCTGGATGGATTCATGCTGCTCTGAATTTTTTGTTCATTTGACAGTTTTATTGGTTATATATATATATATATATATATATATATATATATTATATATTCTTTTTATTTTAAAAGTAAATGTTGCTGTTGCTGGTTTAGTCAATGATCCGAAAAAAATTCAGCGTTAATTAAATGGATCATGTTAATTTTTTTTTTAAATATAAAAAACATTTTCATTTATATAATTACTATTGTCTATATATATATTTGTCGCCATATTTGTTTTTTCTTTCGGTAGTTGTAAAAAAATCCGGCCTTCTTCAGAAAAATAATTTCGAACTGAACCCTTTATTTCGATCAATGGGGTAGACTGTTCTAAAATTGTTGTTTTATGTTTTGATGGATGTCATTATTCCTCTAATTTTCCTCTGAAAGTTCTCCACTTTTTTTAAAACAATTTTGAACTCAATTTTTTGAGTTTTCACTTTCATCTAATCAACGCCTTTATCCACTGTAAATGTGTCCTAAGGAAAGTCTACCCCAGTGATCGAAATAAAGGGTTCAGTTCGAAATTCCAACCCCCTGAAAGAAGGCCGGAGAAACAATGGCCGAAAAGTTTTGACAAATATGGCGACAAAAATTTTACAATAGTCCGACTAATTGTAAATAAATAAAATAATAATACCTCATCTCAGAAATATAGACAGATATAAGAACATTATTTTCCGTTACAATAAGAAAATAACGCTTAGACTTTGATAAACATGCCAAATTGACAAATTCCAATCAAATCACTGAGAAAATGTAAGGGAGGTAATTAGTTATTAAAAAATAAGAATAACCTCCCTTGAAAAGTTTACTGAACCCTTTGTATTCACCATAGTTTCTTTTTCTTTCTAGTTTTTACACGCAATGGAAGATTTTTACATTGATTAAGAATTAGTGTAGTAAAAGTGTAATTTTTAATTTATGGGGAATAGCCTACTTCCACCTTCTAAACTCAAAAATGTATCTTTTTTTTTTTTTAAACCACGTCTGCTTCATCAACTCTATTTTGGTGGGGTTTCACAATAAAATTTGTTGAGCCTTTTTCTTTCTACAAATTTGAAAAACAAATTTTACAGATGTAGCTTTTTCATAAACCGTTAGGCAAGGACAGCGCGTACTACCAACAACCACCCTTAAGATGATTGGAAGGGGTAAGCTTGATTAGGGGCTCCGGACAGTGTTTTGTTAACCTCGCTATTTTATCAACATTTGCTTTTTTTCTACCTAAATTTACGTTACAAATTAAACTTAACAAAACTGACAATTACTATTAATTAAACGATGAAAAATTTTCGCGAATTTTGACGTCATTCTGGGTCATTTTTTCGTTTAAATCCGCGAGTTTTTTTCATGCACAGTCTTGAAAAAAACAATATATAAAATACACTATTTGTTATCCATAATATTCAATTTGTTAAAAAAATTATTCTACTTTTTAACATACCCAAGATCTACCCCGTTACAGTCCTTTGTAGCTCTTAATAAATTTGACTTTTTGTTATCTCTTCTAAATATTGTTCTGTCATCCACTTACGCAAGCTCGTTAGATAGGTTGTCTTCCCGTCTCTCCTGCTTCCAATCTGTCCCGTGAGTGTCAAGTTTTCCAAGCACTCTTTCTTCATTACGTGCTCTAGAAATTTCAACTATATCTTCTGATGTTAAGTATTTTTTGTTTCCATTTTCTTTAAAATTTTGTCGTTGCTCAGATATTCGGTGCATAATATTCTCAGCATCCTTCTGTAGAATCACATTTCTGTTCCTTCAAGTCTCTTCGTTTGTGATGAGATTATCCAGCGTTCACTGTCATCTACGAGAAATAATATTATGTAACAGTTCAGTATTCTTTTCTTTGTTTCTCATGAAATTTTCCTGTTTCTTAATAATTTGCTTAGCTCTGGGAAGGTAAATTTTGCTATTCCAATACGTTTAGATAAATATTTAAATTGTTATACTTGTTAAATTTTGTTATCTCTAATTTGTAATTTGCATGTTGGGCTGTTCCTTTTGCTATCAACTATACATTCTGTCTTCTCACAATTGATATTTAGTCCTTTCTTCTCGCTTTCCTTCACTAGCTTCTGTAGGAGCTCATGTAGTTTCCTTTCTGTGTCTGTTATTAACTCTGTGTCATTTGCATAACAGACTACCCCTTGACCAATGAAAATCGCTCGTGAAGTACGCATGAAAAGGGGTACAAGGATTCTCCACTCATTCTTTTTGTCTCTTTTCTTCGACTTTTTTTTCACTAGATTCTTCTCTTTTTTATTGGGGAGTCAGCATTAGTGGACGTCACGTCAACAATTCCATATGTAATTTTCAAAAAAAACAAAAAACAAAAAAAAAAAAAAAAAAAAACGGGGCCATTTCATTGTTCTGAAAGAGACTTCAGCTCTTGTAGGATTGTCGGGTATGGACACCATTTACAAACCACAAATGTATATTTCTTTTTAATTCTTTATTTGTTTATAAAGATTGTCTTCTGTTTCATACACCAAAGAATAGTATAGTTTTATTCATTGGTTGTTATCCCAGCTATTCTGAATGATGTCCAACATTTCCCGGCTACTATCTTAGTTTGATGGAAAATACAGTAATTTAAATCGTGTCTTTCTTGCAGAATGATTATATGACCGACACAACATACAGGGTGCGATGGCTAAATTGTCATCTAAATAATGCAAAAATGAAAATAGCACTGGCATCTCCTTTTAACATATATTTACCAAAATTACACAGAAATATCTTGAAATACTAGAGAGTAAATTGATTCAATAAAATCGCTTGTGTTCAAGCACGGCCTCTATATAACTTCAGAATCTCTTGCAATTCTTCTGGACGATCTTCTTGTTTAAGTCGGTAAATGCTGCCATAATCCTTGCCTTCAGTTCATCTTTGGTGTTGCAAGGATTTTTGTTGGTCTCTCACTCAGCTGCATCCCAAATATATTAACCAAGGGGGTTGCAGTCTGGGGAGTTAAGTGGCCAGATGTAAGAGGTGATGTGGTCGCAGAAATTATCTGATAGCCATGACAGAGTTCTCTAGCTTGTGTGACATGCTGCAGAGTCCTATTGCCAGACATAGGTTCTTCTAGCAGCCAGTCTCTTGACCCGGGGCAGCACTGCCTCGTCAAGGCACTTGATGTGTGGCCTCTGTGTTGAGTCTGAGACCTTGTGGGAAGATGAACGGAGGCATTGCGTCGCCATCACTTGTGATCACTCCAAACACCATGATGTTGACTGGATATATCATTCAACTCTTTCTAAATCCTCTGCACTGTCCTCAGATTGACACCCAAACATTCTGAAATGTTCGCACTGGAGATTCTAGCACAAATGCTAAGCAGTACAGCATGCCGTTCTAAAATTTCCGGCGGAGTCAATTGTGTCAAGGCGCTCTTTTTCTCACAAATGGTGCCCAACTGACCCTACTATACGATGCAGGCGACAAAATAAAAAACAAACTACTCGCATGCGCAAAATTAAAAATATAAAAGGGCGACAATTTACCCATCGCACCATTGTGTTAATATATATTTACTAAATTTACCTTAGTTTGAAACAAATCTGAGTGGTAAAAATTAGAGAAGAATATGATTTCGGACAAAATAACTTCATCATGCTTTTTAAAGTGTTTAGAAATCTCCCTTCCCTAAGAGGGAACCAAACAAACAGTACAAGCATCCTCGTTGAATATCTACCTTGGCTGATATGGCAGTCTTGAATTTCGCACGACTGTGATCGCTTTGGAGCTGTGTTCTGGTCACAGCCAGAAGAGTAACGTAGTGTTTCTGGGTCCACGCATGTCACATGCCGTCTCTGGTAGCCTCGGCCACAGCTGACAGAACACTGGAAAAAAATAAAGTCAATAAAATAACTTATATAGTTGCTTTTGTTTAGCGGCCTCTTAACATCTATGGATTATTTAATGCCGAAATCTAAAAATTTTGAACACATTTTTATGGCTTCAACTAAATATATTTTGAACACATTTGTATGCCTTCAACTACAGATAAAATGTATTGTTGGTCCTGTTGTTTAGTGGCATATCAACATCTCTATGGGTTATTTAATGCTGAAATCTAAATATTTTGAACACAATTTTATGGCTTCAACTACAGATATTTTGAACGCAATTGTATGCCTTCAATTACAGATAAAATATATTGCAGTTATTTTTACTCTAAAATGTTTTTTATATTTCATAGTGTTTTGTTTATTTGGGGGGGGGTCACTATTTATCCATAGTTGGGACCTTAAAAGAGGCCACCACTTGTCTCATCATCAGTACATTGGCCTCGGGAGGGAAAGCAAGATCATTGATGTGGCTTGGAACAATTAAATACACAATGCCTGTCTCTTCACCCTTCCTTGTCGTACTCCTGCTGAGGCTTGAAATGTTTCCGTATTGGGGGGTCCTTACCAGACATGTCACATTTTGGGGACATAGGAAGTTCATCTTTTAGATCAATGCATTCATTAGCTTCAGAGATTGGAAGCTGGTTTCTAATGAATGAGACAAGGAAGTTTTTATTGATGTACACATAGGTACAGGGAAAGGTATGAAACTACTGAGACAGCTTAACAGAGAGACAGATATGAACCTAGTGAGACAGCTAGTTACAAGAAAAGATATGAACTTACTGAGACAGGTACGCAAACAGATATGGACGTACTGAGACAGGTACGCAAACAGATATGGACTTACTGAGAAAGAAAAGTAGAGAGACAGATTTGTCGAGACTAGTATGAACCGGCAGAGACAGATATGAAACTACAGAGATAGATAGCCACAAAGACAGATTGGCAGAGAGATTGATATGAACCTACTGTGATAGATAAGCAGATAGATAACTATGAACCTACTGATTTAGGTAGGCATACATGAATCTAATGAGATAGATAAACAGATAGATATATATATAATGTGAGTGAGATAGATATGAACGTAATGATATATGTGGACATTGATATCAGTACCCAGTACCGACTGGCTAATCTATTTCATGCTTAAATGCAATCATCAGGCTATTCATCTTTTTGCTTGATTATTTATATATACTGGTTAGTGATGCATCATGGGTAGGCCTATTGTATTATTCTAACGGCTATTTTGGTGGACAGTAACGCTTATGTTTAGAATTATTTTAGAGACTATTGAGTGGAAATATTTGTGGATATGGATACAGTTTAGTGGCTAAAATGCACATGGCCTGACGATTGTGTTTATGGATGAAACAGGCTGTCGCTTTACATATGCCCTATCCCTGATATTAAACACTTTAACCTATAAATATAGCATTCCGTAAAATTATATCTGAACATATACATATATAACAAAGATAAAAAAATTAAATTAAATCAACTCACATGGCCTGAGAAATTGTGTCTAAGCATGAAACAGACAGTTAAACATATCCCTACCAACAGCTGAAATAATAAGAATCTGCTGTCTCATCACCAATATATATATAAAGAAAAAACAAAATAGTGATACATTATTGGTAGGAATATTATATTATTCTGTTATTTGGGTGGGTGGTTACTGTCATGTCTTGAATCATTTTCGGGGCTATTGAGTGGAAATGATTGCAGATCCAGATGCAGTTTTGTGGTGACAATATACATGACCTGAAGATTGCATATAAGCATGGAATGGATTGTCGGCACTAGGTGTTGACTTCAATCTCCACTTTTATATGTACATACACTCTATACCTGATATTGATCACTTTCACACACACACACAATATATATATATATATATATATATATATATATATATATATATATATATAAACTGACAGAGACAGATAGATATATGAATTTCAACAAATCTATAACCAAAATAAATAACAACAGAAAACTGAATTTCTACCAAGATAACAATGTTTACATCAAGAGACAATTCTTACTTGTAAAATTCTAACATCTTGTAAATTGATACTTACAGCTGACCAAATGGACGTGTGCCATTGGTGTTTTGGCTCTTTCTTTTCTGGACATGGCGGGCCTTTGCACTCTCGTTCAAGTACCAAATCTTTTGGTTTGACCAACTCTTTGCATAGTTCTGTTGGCACTGACACGGTCAGATTATTCTCCGATCTTGTACAGACTAGTACTCGTTTCTCTTGACCCAAACCACAATGAGCGGTACACTAAAAACAAATAAAATGGCAAAGATTGTTATTACAATGTAAAGGTTGGTCAGTTTTATGGCTTCTTTTCTGACAAAGGGACTGTGTTGTATTGTAAAACTGATTTCTCTATTTTTGGTTGTCTTGTCAAGTACATTGATCTATTGCTGGTGTTTTATAAGCAATGGCGCTTATGGGTTTCATAAAATGTACAGATGTAAATAAAGGCTTGTAACATAAATATCCAGCTGTGCATTTTCCTTTTCCAATAAAATAGTTTTTATTGCAATATATGGAATTCTGACAATAATTAAGTAATTTAATTTAAATGAAAAATATAATCAAGTAATATGAACTATTAATTTAATTTCATAAAGTTGTATAGTGAAATATGTACATGAATTTTTGCATAGTGAAATTGATTCATGTTAGTTTCAATCTCCATGGGAATGACTGCAAAATACTTTCTCCTCCCTGTTGTAAATATAAATATCTATTCGAGTTTATTCACAGAAAATGTGGCACAAGGCCAAAATGGGGAATGTGGAAAAGGATGGTCTTCTGTCTTAATGTTAAACTTATCTAACCACAATTATTGACCGAATCATACAAACAATATTCCTTACACCAAAACAACACATTCTTACTTACCTTTCTTACTACACCCACCATAATACCTCATTGTCTCTATGAAAGTCCAAACTAGACCCCATATGTACAATTCATTGTCTGTGCGGGGAGTGGAATAAAATAACAATTTTAAAAAAATCTAAACCAATGAATATTTACAAAAATGAACAAAACTATTTATAAGAAACTAAACTAGATAATATTAGTTATACACCCTGCCTCGTTAAATTTGGCAGAAACATCAGTTAACTGGACAAAATCAATGTAGGACTTTAATAATATAAAACATTCATTCATCCCAAGCACTCACCCAAACACACATTCAAACACAACAAATACAAAAATCACACCTGAAATGAAAGGCGTCCTGCATCCACCAAAGAATTGACATCACTGACCACCTAATGAGGGAGGGAAAGAGCTCATCCAAACAATTACCATGGAAGAATTTATAGAAAAGGTACAGGGAGGTAACTTTATGGTGGCGGGAAAGTGACTGAAGCCAATACACCAGATCAGGATCAATAATATTGCTGATTCTGCTTTGGATTTTATCAAGGATCTCTAGACATATGATGGGGGCACCAGAGCATGGATGAATGATAGACATATATATATGCAAGATAGATTCAGGAGAAAAACTTGCCTAGCACAACACAGGGAACCAAATTTCTTATCAGCTGACCTAGCAACAGATTCAATATAGTCTTTCCATTTCATGTCAGCCGAGAATGTTAGCCCAGGTAGGTGCAATGAGTCACTCTCCTGGAGGTTAGCACAGCCATTTTGATGGCAGGCAGAAAGGATTTAAGATTGAATTTTTAAAAAACTTATGATACCATTGTGTCTTAGTGGCTTTACCGCCTTGCATCGGTTGCACTTGATTAAAAAAAAAACAAGTTATATAGTTCTACATATGACCCATTAGTGCTCACCACCTAAAAATGTTACAGTGGGTATCAAGGTTGGGGGGGGGAGGGTCAAAGGATTATAAGTGGAGGCTCGATAAGCAATTGGTGTATAAGTTTCGATTTGAAAGTACTTACCGCAGACCAAGAGGTAATTTTCCATTCATAAATACTTGGACATGGCTGTAGAGCATTGCAGGGCATGGTAGAGTTGGGCTTCTCCAAATGTTCACAGTGATCAACGGGTAGCCGTTTTGTCCGCCTCACGTTAACGACCCGGCAATCGACCTTCCGACGGATGACACCCTCTCCACAAGTTCGAGTACACTGAAACAAAAAACAAAAAAAAATTGATAAAGACACAGCCTATTCTTCCTTTGAACACTGTCATTGATTAAACTTAGCTTAGTATTGGCACAAGGTCATTCGTATGGGGGCTCTCAAAGTGAATCAAACTCACTACTCAATAGTCATGATCAACTATCCTCATTTATTTACAATATTTACATTTAGACTATTGTCCTCAACTCTGTTGCCTAAAATATTAGGATTATTTATAATTTATATCATTCAAACTCTTAAGTTCAAAAGGTGAAGAATTAAAAAAAAACTATTTAAATTTAAGGGTGATAACTCTTTTTTTGCATAAAATACTAAGTATAATTGGTATTTGGTGCTTAAAAAGAGAGTTATCTTCCTCAATTTAAAATTATAATATTTTTTTAATTCTTCGGCCTTCGAACTTAAGAATTTGAATGATAAAAATAAATTATAAATAATTCATTCTAATATTTAAGGCAATTTTAAAAAAAATAAACAACTCTTAACACACAATTTTGAATCATCACCATGAGAACGTGACTTCTATAACGGTCAGAATATGCTCCGCACCTGAAGATTACAAGAAAATCTGAGTCGTGCTATCGACGTTGGATATATATATATATATATATATAAACATAAAACATTAGGCAGCATATAATTTACATACAAAGAAATAATCACACATAGAATCAATCAGAAGTATTAATGCGATTATTGGCGACATCCATCGCTAGAAACATAATATATGCATTAAAATATATGCCAATAATCGCATTAATACTTCTGATTGATTCTATGTGTGATTATTTCTTATATATATATATGTTTTAACGTATGGCATATTTATGGATTAAAGTGATCAGTATCAGCGGTAGAGCGTATATAAATATGAAAGTGGAGATTGGCGTCAACACCTAACGGCGACAGTCGGTTCCATGCTTAAACAGAATTCTCAGGCCATGTACATTACAGCCACAAAATTGCACCCGAACCCACAATTATTCCTACTAAAATTCGAAACATAAACGTTACTGCCCACCCAAATAACTGTATTCTATCAACAAATTACCGATGTATCCTTTCGTGAGAGTAGTTTTCAATACTAGAGCCGCAAGCCCTATTGCAGATACTGCATTGATAAAGTGGGTTCTAAGTGCTACTGTTGGCCTTCCTCTTGGCACGTTTCCCAATGAGGAGACTGGTACGCCTGTTCTCAAAGACATCGACGACGTCTTTGCAAGTTCTCCTTCAGGTTGCACGGTCTTGGGTAGTACTTTCCCAGTTATCAAGGCCGATGCCAAATCTCTTGAGATTGTATTTAATAGTGTCCTTGTACTTCAGTTGAAAAACACAGTTAAACACCTCCCTACCAATCGCTATAATAATAAAATAATAAAAATCTGCTGTCTCATCACCAATGAATGTTATTTCACATTTAATAATGATTTTTACAAACATTATATATATATATATATATATATAGTTCGATGGATAAATTGTCTAAATTACAGAAAAATGAAAATAACACTGACATCTCATTTTAATGGATATATTTACCAAAATTACACACAAATATATCTTAAAATACTAAAGAGTAAATTTATTCAATAAAATCGCGATTGGCTTCAACTATGGCCTCCAGACGACTTCGGAATCTCCCGCAACTCTTCTTATCGACTTACATCATTCTTTCTTTCGTTCTCGATTTACACCTTTTTTTTCTATCTTTTGTGCCAAGAGTTTATATATGTTTGTATTGGTTTATCCTCTCCTTTGAATTCTGCTAGCAAGGCCAAGAGGGGGAACTAGACGTCTGGGCAGCCCTAGTTCTCCATATATCCTGCCCAGGCTCGTGGCGCACCGCGTTACTCCATCGTCTCTCGAGACGGACGGATGCCGACGACGATATATATATATATATATATATATATATATATATATATATATATATATATATATATATATATATGGTGCGATGGACAAATTGTCATGTAAGTTACGCAAAAGTAACATTGACATCTCATTTTAACAGATGTATTTACCAAAAATTGCACAAAAATATCTTGAAATAGTAAAAAGCAAATTTATTCAATAAGGTCGCCATTGGCTTCAACCACGGCCTCAAGACACCTCTTCTGGATAGTCTCCTTGTTTAAGTTGGTGAATGCTGCCATAATTCTTGCCTTCAGTTCATCATTCGTGTTACAAGGAGTTTTTTTGGTCTCTCACTCAAAGGCGCCCACACAATAATCAAAAGGTTTGCAGTCTGGGTAGTTAGGTGGCCAGATATAAGGGGTGATGTGGTCGCAGAAATTATCAGACAGCCATGATTGGATTCTCCTGCTTGTCTGGCATGATTCTGAGTCCTGTTGCCAGACTTAGGGTCTTCCAGCAGCCAGCCACTTGATTGATGGTAGAACTATCTCCTCAACTCAGATGAGTCTGAGGCCATCACCAATAAATTCCGGAGTTCTTTTCTTATCAGAACGATCAGAATGAGTTTTCCGAGCTACCGTACCTTCGTAATCACCGTTGAATTCATCCAACTCTTTCCGAATCCTCTGCACTATCCTCAGATTGACACCAAAACACTCTGAAATATTCGTAATGGAGCTTCCGGCATGAATGCCAAGAAGTACGGCATACCGTTACCAAATTTCTGGCGGAGTGAATTTCGTCACGGTGTTTTTTTTTCTCCTCACAGATGTTACCCAACTGATTCTATTATACTGTGCAGTCGACAAAATCAAAAACAAAAAACGCGCACGCACGAAATGTGTTTTCTCACAGGATTGCTTCGATCCATACAGAGAACTAGATTTATTACTGGCTGATACAATCCTAACATATAGAGATGACACTGTTTTGAAAGCAAACAGACAAAAAATTGAAATAATAAGGGAGTAAAGGAAAGCAAGAATAAAGGACTATTGAATAGAAGAAGACGAAATACATGGTTACCAACGAAAGAGATGGCTCAAGGTGTGAGCTATCTATTGGTGACGTCAAGCTAAAGCAAGTACAGAAATTTTGGTAGTGCAGTAATAGACGACGGAAAATATTAAGATATAGTATTAATAGTATTAAGAAGTAGGAAAATGTTATTAGAAAATGTTATATTCCGTGCTAATAGGAATATATACTTGAAAACATGGTGGATAAAATTAGTAAAGGTTTATTGTAAAAACCAGTTCAATAAGAAATAAGGTAACAGTTATGTGCACGATCGTCGCAAGTCAATCCAGTAATGAGTGCTGCTATTGGAAGGTTGGTAGTTCTCGCGTCTGAGTCTGAGTCGTATTTAACAGATCACAGCTAGAAATATTTACCAGCCTCCCCACGAGGTAGGATGTGGCACAAGGCCGAATTTAATGTGGGGCAATCCCAGTCCGTAGGCTCGGCCAAAAATTCCCCGTAACCCCGCATAAACGAGTTTGGGTCTGTCTACCTCCCCGGACAAGAGACTGCCCTTCTGCATAGCCTCGTTCGGGTTCCTCCCTGCCCGAAGGCAGAGATTCGACAACAGCTAAGAACTAAGTATCAAATCCCAGCTAGACTCTGTAGTCCGTTGACTTACTGCTACTAACAGGAAGTTACTACCTATAGTGTAGTTACTCATGGGGGTGACAGGTTATTCCATTACATCAGAAAAAGTGCTGATCTTTAATACGTAATTTACTATACCGCAGTGAGTACTGGGCAATCTTCCCACAGTTGAAGAGACTTGAAACAGCAGATATATGGTTCTTCTGTCCATTATTGAGAATACCATGGACGGAGCATGTGAGGAATGAGGAAGTTTTAAGGCGAATAAGAACTCCAAGGAAACTTATACATAAAGTCAGAGAGAGACAGTGATGTCGGTATAGTGTTGAATGTAGAGAATAACATGGCCTGAATATGTCAGCAATGAGGAAGTTTTAAGGAGAATAGAATCTACGAGAAAACTTATACTAACACCCAGAAAAAATAGTTGGAATTTCTGGGACATAATGAGGAAAGAGAGCTTGGAGAATTTAACACTCACAGGACATACTGAAGGCAAGAGAAACAGGATGGTGATAGATAGCGATTTATCTACTTGATGAGTTTGTGTGAATAGATCAAAGGTTACTTAAAACAACAAGAGAGGACGTTGCGGAGAGCCGTGATCAGCCAATAGCTGAAGAAATATGGCACATTTACCTTTCAAGCAATTCTTCCTTTCAATACTTGATTACTTTCTTCTTTCATTACTTCCTGCTCTATTTATTCTTCAGACATTTTTCTTTCGTTCATTACTTACACCTTCTTATTTTCTTCACATTTTATTTCATTACTTTTATATCTGTCTCTCTTGCATTATCCACACGTTTTTCTTTCTCTACTTAGACAATTTTTATTTCTCTATTTAAACCTATCTCTACTTGAATCTTTCTTTTTCTATTTGAATCTTCCTTTCTACTTGAACTGTTCTTTCTTTCTCTACTTGAATCGTTCGTTCTTTCTTTCTTTCTTTCTCTACTTGAATCGTTCGTTCGTTCTTTCTTTCTCTACTTGAATCGTTCGTTCGTTCGTTCTTTCTTTCTCTACTTGAATCGTTCGTTCGTTCTTTCTTTCTCTACTTGAATCGTTCGTTCGTTCTTTCTTTCTCTACTTGAATCGTTCGTTCGTTCTTTCTCTTTCTTTCTCTACTTGAATCGTTCGTTCGTTCTTTCTTTCTCTACTTGAATCTTTCTTTTTCTACTTAAACCTTTCCTTTTTTCTCTATTTACACCTTTATTTCTCTCCTTACATCTGTATTTCTTTCTATCTCTATTTGCACATTCCTTTCTTTTTCTTACACCTTTCTTTCTATCTTTCTTGACTTACACCTTTCTTTCTACCTCTTGTACCAACACCTTGCGTCTCTTTGTGCCGTTTCATAATTATAATAGTTCATTTTAAATTCTCGTTCAACTAAAAGAGATAAAATCCTTTTTAGCAGACGATAAGGCAAATTCACAGCGTTTCTATAACCCTGATAAGCGCGCTTATTGTTTCTGATATTTGATTAGTAAATCCATTTATAAATATTCATTGTTGTTCTCTTCAATTCACAACATTTAAACAAAAGATTCTCTTCAAAACAAAACACCAGTCCACAGACCAACGGCGTCTAACATCAAAGAAACAGCTATCAACATAAACGTCAAATAAAATTAATTCTTCAATGCCAAACCTGACGGTGACGTGAAAAAAAATCAGTTTGTTATGACCCATGTGATCCATGAGTGCCAACTTAAATTTAGGTACCTTCAAAGATTCACTAAAAATGAGCATACATTATGGAAAAATGCCCAACACTTAAAACAAAGTTTTATCTTTAAAATCTTTGTGTTATTATTAAGAGAAAAGACAAAAGGATTTTGATGGAAAAATATATTTTTTAAAATCCTATTCAGAATCTTCGAAATTTTGGTTAAAAATCTTATTTCTCTGGCATCAATGTGGGGCCATAAATTTGCAAAACTTAAAATTAATCGCTGCATTTAAGTATTGCATTAATAGCTAAGCTTACGTTTTTAAAAGTTCAATGATGATTCTTCTGCAGCCATTTAATTTAAAGACAGTTTGATGTACGTAGGTCCTTACAAACAATTATTTTTATTTTATGGCCGACTTTGGCTGGATTTCGTAGTTAATTTCGCTTATTCACAAATTTATTCCCAAATTTTAAAAATTGCTATCGCACAAAAAAAAATTGTCGCAAAAAATCATGTACAAAAGTCGCAGTAATGAAAACTTGGGAATCCAAAATTTCAGGATTGCGGATCCGGATTTTTAATTTGTTCACGAAGTCGGTCTAATTCCAAAATGGTATGATATATTGGGCTACTGTATCTAGGAGTAAAGTTGAAAAAGTGTGACACACTGACATTCGCATTTATTATATCGAATAACAAGTAGATGAGCTATTGAAAGTTAAAGAGTTGTGTCCCTTTAATTGAAAAATTGTGACACACTGATATCCGTATTTATTATATAGGTGAGGACAAAATCAATTTTTTTTTATCAAACAGGACCACCAGTTACAGAAAATCTGCTCTGAATCCTATATATATATATATATATATATATATATATATATATATATATATATATAAAAAACTAAAATAATATTTAATTTGGAAGTTTTCAATTGCTTTTTAAGAATAAAATATATTATGGATACTATTTTCTCTTGAAAAATTTCTTTTCGATGAATAATGCATTTTTACAAGAACTGTTTTCATTTTTTTAAAATTTGAATTATAATAATTTATAAACTTTAAATCTTTTAACATTCTGTATTTGTAGCGGTCAAGTGATACTGTTATTAAATACAAAGTCTATTTATTAATTATATATGGAAAAGCTTACTACAATTCGGTGATCCCCAGTAGTTTAAAAAGAATTTTGATTTTTTTTTGTGTGCGCATAGACATGTCGATTTTTTGTAAATACGGGCGTCCATACACGACATTATCAGAAAATAAGCGTGTTAACCTAGTAAATTTTAAATTTATTGGTAATTTTCTAACATTTCCTCAACAGACATCTTCGTAAGACTACGAAGTCAAAGTGCCTAAAATTCAATAAAATATTAGAATTTTTAAATATTTTAAATTTTTAAGCTAAACTTGGTAGTTAAAAATGATCCAGAAAGGCGTTTACGTTGTATTCGTCATGCAATTTTACTTCAATTATTTTCTCCCTTACATAAATCTCGTAAACGTCAGGAATTAAAAGTAAAATAAAAGCTTCAAGAAAGATTATTCACCGGCTGTCACGTGACTTCGTCTCAATCAAAGGGAGATAATTTTCCCTACAGGATGAATCTCTTCTGTCAGTAAACGTAATTAAATTTTTTGATATTTTCCGTCAAGGGGCAAAGTGGCAGATCAGCTCCCCAAAAAAGACGGATTCGGAAGCAGATGCCAGAGTAGCAGGTGCTGATAAATTCTCGGCCTGACCCATTTCCTAAAATCCTACAAAATAACCAAACAGAATCTTTTTGCCGGATTTTTTTTTTAAGATATAGAATTATTACTATATGTTTAAAATCATTTACACGGTCTATTTATTTACTACTAGCAGTAGAGCCCGGCGTTGCCCGGGGATGTAACAGTAAGAGATAGATCAAGTATCGACCATCATAAAGACTGAAAAATAAAATTGACAAAGATTATTGTTTAAGGTTGACAGACAAGCATGTCTTAATTAGTTTTTTTTTTTTTTTTTTTTTTTTACGAATTGGTCAAACCCAAACTCAAACAAAAACATTGTTTTCAATCGTTATGAGTCTACCGATTGAATAGAATTTTATTATAAACAATTGTCTTGTAAATGGAATTTTTAAAGCATTCTGAATGTAAAAATAAAGAAAAAAGTGTGCAAGACAATAAGAAACACTACCTGCCAAAAAAAAAGTTAAGTTTTGTTAAAATCGGTTGAAAAATGTAGGAAATCCGATCCCATATATAAACGAACACACACACACACACACACACACACACACACACACACACACACACACACACACAACCTGGGTTTTATAAGTATAACTCGATATGAGTTGTCCCCCTTTCATTCTCGTGATGCCTCTTAATCGTGTTTTCAAATTGATTTTGTGCAAAAACAATTGTGTTTTTTCCAATTTTTGGCGCTGTCAGAAACACCGCAAGGTAATTTTACATAGTCCTGTGAAGTTTTGTTGAAATCGGTTGGAAAATGTAGGAAATCCGATCCAATATATAAACGTACACACACACACACACACACACAATCTGCGTTTTATAATAAGTAAGACTTCAAATGTTATTATAGTGTACACTTCATATTCAAAATAGACGCCTTGGTTTTATTTATTAAACAGTGTGCATCACATCTATGAGCTTGCGCATTCGGCATATCCCAATAAAGAAAATGTGTTTTCTGGCAGGGATCGAACCTACGTCCCCCTTAATAGCGGAAACCACCGTTTGATCCGGCATGCTTTACCGCGAAAAACGCTTTTGAACTCTGTCAATGCTGGAAAGTGTGGATTGACCAGCTCCAACCCAGACATGGTGACAAGACTCCATTTTTGGTCTTATCTGACATTTAAACAATAATCAATCTGTAGGAATGTCTCTATGCTAACTTCAGGAATTGGATAACTTTAAACATTCTGGAAGTAATTTTGTTTGCAAAGCAAAAATTTTATCCTGCCACTGCAAGTGACAGATGAATTAATTATAATTTGTTTGAATTTTGCAGTTGTGTTGTCATATCCTGCTATAGTTACAGAAAGTGACCATGACTGAAATTAAGTAGTGTGGTAGAGGAGCCTTGAAAAACAATGCAGTGGAAAGAAAAGTAGTGAATAATGCAGAGTGCTAAAGGTTAAAAAATAGCTTAAAATTGGATACAAAATATCTTGTATTAGTTATGTTTATAACTGAGTGCTTATTTTTGGTTAAAATAAAAGCAAATACACTAGTTACAGAAATGTTATTTTCTACTTTAAAAAAAAAAAATACAAAAACATCATTTTTAGGTGTTTTTAAAGAAATGAAGGGCAGCCCTAACCATTCACCTGAGTTTTGTATAGGAAAGTTTGACTCACCCTTTAATAGTGTGTTTGAATTTTGCAGCTGTGGTATCATATCCTGCTATGACAACAGAAAGTAACCATGACCGAAATTAAGTAGTACAGTAGAGGAGCCTTGAAAATCAATGCATTTGAAAGGAGAGTAGTCAATAATGCAGTGTGTTACTAGTTAAAATAAGGATTCCACAAGATCTTAATTTTAAATAAATCAATTCAAATCAGTGACAATACATCACAATTCCAATACCTTTATCTGACCTTAACCCTTAACATTCTAGAAGTGATTTTGTTTGCAAAGCAAAAATTTTATCCTCCCACTGTAAGTGACTCAGATGAATTAATGATAGCGTGTTTGAATTTTGCAGTTGTGTTGTCATATCCTGCTATGGCAACAGAAAACGACTATGACTAAAATTAAGTAGTGCAGTAGAAGAGCCTTGAAAAATAATGTAGTGGAAAGAAAAGCATAGAATAATGCAGTGTGTTAAATGTTAATTTAAAAATTTAAATTTAGATTAAAAATTCAAAGCAGATAGATTATTTTTTTTCTGTGGTGGGGTTCTTGTTAACGCAGGGTTTATACTCACTTCTGTCCACATGCCCGTCACCCAACTGGGAGGGCAATCGTGTACATTGCATTTTCGCCTCCGGGTAGGCCTAGAAATGTGTTCACAATATTTCTTTGGCAGTCGTCTCGACTTATTTTGTGATAATTTTTCACGACACCGTACTCGTCTTGACTGTCGTCCTCCGCCACATTTGCTCGTGCAAGTTTTCCATTCGCCAGAAACCCACCTATGAAAAAGAAAGAGAAACATTCTATTTTATCATGTAAAACAAATCACATGAATTTATATACTTATTACGCGTATTCTCCTCTGCCCTTGTCACTAATGAGATATCTCGTTCATATGGTAACAAGTGTAATTACTCGAAGCCAATAATCGAACATTTCGTAGATTCTCATTACAACAGAATGCCTCATTAGTAAGTCGGGGCGATCGGATAGCCAATAGACTGCTTTTAAAAATGTATTGTTAGCTTTCCAAGAATACTTTTGCATATAATGATAAAAGAGAGGTGTGGTAGCACCTATTAGGGTGCCAATTGTGGGTAAATAGTAAACCCCCAGAAAAAAAAAGACTATGAAAGTATACATTTTTTTGGTAAAAATACCAGCAATATATTTTATATAAAATGTGACCGTCACTACTTATAGTAAAATGACCGACAATACATTTTTTAGCAAAATGGCCAACAATACATTTTTTTTAGCAAAATGTCCAACAATACATTTTTTAGCAAAATGACCGACAATACATTTTATAGCAAAATGACCAACAATATATTTTATCTGTAGTTGAAAGCATACAACTGCGTTCAAAACATACCAAAGCCATAAAATAGTGTTCAAAATATTTAGATTAAATAATCCACAGATGTTGATATGCCACTAAACAAAATCAACCAGTATTTACATTATTATTCGGACTATTGTCCTCATCTTTGTCGCCATACTCATCACAACGTTTCGGCTGTTGTACGCTCCAGCCTTCTTCAGGTGGTTGGAATGTTGAACTGAACCCTTTATTTCGCTCACTGGGGTAGACCGTTCTAGTTCCACGTGCCATGTCTAATGGATGTTAGTTATCTCCTGTTAATTCCCCTCTCAAATTTCTCCACTGCCTTAACTCTTTGACAAATACTGGAAATCACCCAGTTATCAGATTTATTTACCTGGATTTAGGAGCATATGTTGGTCTGATTGTTCAAAGGACAGGTGTTAAAATCTTTGTTTTGGTTTTCGCTAGTTTGTGGGAATCGTTAACAATGCCTGATGGTGCACATCGAAATGCCTGCTTTGTGTGAATTAAGCAGACCATAAAGTCTGGGTATTCTAGGCTGTTATTCTATTAGCTTATATCTAATGATTTGTTTTCATTACAAATTCGGTTTCTAATCGATCTATTAAGTTTCTATGTTTCTTTTTAGTTTTCAAACCGCTCTATTAATAGAGAATATGCTCAAGAAATTTCGGTAAATTTGCAGATTAAGCCCCGGAAACCAGTTGTAATGAAAAATTCCATTCTGGTGGGTAAATTTGTATGCTTATTTCGAAAATAAAAATAAAAATTTGCGGAAATATAGGAGTTATCGACTATAGAAGTTCGGCTTTAATCGCGTCTCGGCTACAGTCCGGTCGCCATTACTGACTTTATTTACATACGTTTGCCTCTAGTAGTAATGTGCGGAAGATTATCTTGTCTTGATTATTGTGCACGCAATACGCGATCTTTAATTTAAAACAAATGTGCGAAATTTAAAAAAGTAACCCAACAAGAAAAGCCTCACTATTCCAAATAGTCTAAATTAAAAGAAAGAAAAATCAAAATTACAAGCTAAAAACAAAATTGAAATTACAAGATAAAACCAAAAAATGCTTCTTTTTCTTTTTTTTTAGGAAATGATGCCTTTATGAACCAAAAACAAAAAAAAGTGCTTGAAAGGACTTAACAACAAACATTTTTACGATACAAACTTTGTTTTTATTAAATTTGGGGTTTTTAAAAGCATGATTATTTAAAAAATAGCAATGATAATTGCAGAAAGGTTACATTTAAAAATACATTTCGCGAACAGCGCATTAATCGAGACGAGTAAGAAGATAGGAAGATCAATAAAAAGACCGTTAACTAAGTAAGCTTCCGCGCATGATTACTCGTGGCAAACGTATGTAAACAACGACAGTAATGGCGGCCGGACTAGACGCGAATAAGGCCGAAATAATATTGTCGATATCTGCTAAACGGTACATTTCAGCAAACTTTTATTGTCATTTTCGAAATAATCACGCAATTTTACACAAGAATGGAAGTTTTTATTACAATTGGTTTCCGGGGCTTAATCTGCAAATTTACCGAAATTTCAGCTGCCATTTTCTGGTTCTTTTTGTTTCCATTTTGTTTAAGACTTCTTCGTTGCTTACTTGCTACGTCCATGGAATTCTCAGTATCCTTCTGTAGAACCACATTTCTCTTGCCCCCAGTTTTCTCCCCATTGGAGATTGAAAGCTGAACAATCTCATACAAGATGATTTATATCACATGGCAATTTAGCACTCGTTTCTTTGTTTCCAACGAAGTTTTTTTGTTTCTTATTATTTTGCTTAGCTTTCAGAATGCGTCTTTCGCTAATCCAATGTGCGTTCGTATTTCGAGGTTACATTTTCCATCCTCTGTTAAACTTGTTTGATGTTGACATCTCCAACTTGTTGCCCATATCTTGGCATGTAGCCCATATCTAAGCATTAATTTTTCTTTAATAAGATTTCTCGAACATTTAGGCTGGTAGGTCAAAATAAATAAATATACTGTTTAATAAATGAACGGAGCGTCTACTCAAATAAGAGTATCCAATAAAAAAAATAACGTTTAAATTGATAAAAAGTAAGTATGCGTATAAAGTTGAACGATAATCTGTCAGAAGGGTAAATATGTGAGAAAATTTTGAAAACTTTTTCTTTTTGCCGATGGTCAGGCGTAATCAGAAAAAAAAAAAAAGAATTTTCAAGATGCCAAATGTGAATCATGTTTCATTTCCTTTCGCTAATGCAGACGAATGACCAAATGGAAAGAATTCTAAGTTAGTCTGTTTGTTCTTCCAAAGAACTTTCTCAAACTAATGATTTTATTGATTGAATGTATATTGGGAATGAACGAAATACACAAAATAAAACAAAAAGTGTTACTTATAAATGTATACAGGATGCAATGGATAAATTGTCGCCATTTTATACTTTTAAATTTCACGCATCCGCGTTGATTGTTTTTGATTTTGTCGACTGCACAGTATAGTAGGGTCAGTTGGGCGCCGTCTGTGAGAAAAAGAGCACCATGACGCAATTTACTCCGACAGAAATTTGGAAATGGAATGCTGTACTGCTTGGTATCTCTATTTCAGTGTGTTTCAACAGTGCAGAGGTTTCAGAAAGATTTGTATGAGTCTAATGGTGATTATGAAGGTACGTCAACTCGGAAAACTTACTCTGATCGTTCTGATAAGAAAAGGACTTCAGAATTTGTTGGTGAGAGCTTCAGCTAATGGTGAGTTCTACGACAATAAAATATCCGTAGAAATTCCACTGTCACATCGTTAAATATTTGAGCTTAACTTTAACAAAACATTGCAATAACAACCATAAATATGAACGCTGGTCGTTATTTTAAGAAGTAAGGGGGTACAATTGATAATATTTGAAATTGGGAACTTTTTTTGACTTCACTGAAACAGACGTTAAACACTTCTATCTTGCTTTCATTTTCTGAATGAAGCCAGGTAGCGTTTTTGATGTCTTTTGGCTTCTCATGTCATGGAATAGTCCATTATTTCTATCTTTCTTACTTTATCTTTTACTTACCTTGGCGGACACGCCTTCTCGTTGCAAGGTATTCTACCTGTCCGGGGTTTATTAAAAGGATCACAGAAAGTATCGTTGACCTCTCGTTCCTGATCCAAAAGACAGACGGCGTCAATTGACTTCTCACCTAGATAAATTCCAACAGACAGAAGAACATGTCAGAAGCCGTAATCAAACAATTTTGTTAAAAAAAAAAATTTTTTTCTGAATTTCTGGAATGAGGAGTTATCATTACACTATTTATATTCAGACTATTGTCTTCGTCTTTGTTGTTTTTATCCCAAAGTTTCGGCTACTGTGCCCTCCGACCTTCCTCGGGTGTATATCGATCTGGGTAACCTACAGGAAATTAGGAACTGAATCCTTTATTTAATCTACGGGGGTAGACTGTTCTTGTTCCACTGCTCATGCCTAGGGACATGAATTGATAAACATTACAGCGTCTTGTATGCATCGTTGGCCGAGTGGTTAGAACATTATTATTTTGACAATGAAATCTGGGTTCGAATCTTACCATGGTGATCCTTTATTTAATATCGGCTCGGGGAAATGCTCGCTACCGTTTGGAAAGTTTTGAAAACCATATCCCACAGGTTGACTTAAGACATGTGTGGGAAATTGAGAATACGGAAGAGTTCAGAAGCCACCAAGGCTTGCGCTTTCATGAAGTCACATGCCCACGCCGAATGGAGAAAAACAAGCATTTTAACCGTTTTTTTTTAAATATTATTGTTCACCTAATACAAGGACCAAGAGCCACTCAAAGTAGAGGGTTACTAAATGAGATTGTAAGAGCGTACTCCGAGAAGTTCATATTATGAGGATATGTAGAGTTGACCCTACACTTGAAGAAGTCAAGATCGTAGTGATCGGAGAAGCATTCTCACAGGCGTCTGTTCCTCAAAGTAACAGTTCTGTGAGAAGAAGATCGATTTTTCTCGAACCATTCATTGTCCTTTAAATCTCTTTTCTGGTTTTTGTTTATTATTACTTTCATATAATTGAAGGCAGAGAGTTCAACCGTCTAGCTGAGAAGATTTCAGCTAGTTAGTATTTACTAGCCCCACCATGAGGGTAGATGTGGCACAAGGCCGGGTTTAATGTGGGTTCACCGAGCCCGTAGGCTCGGCCAAAAAATGCCCGTAGAACCCACATAAACAGGATCGGGTTGGTCAACCTCCCTGAACGAGATTCTACCCTTTGGCTGAGCCTCGTCCTGGTTCCTCTCTGCTCAGGGGCAGAGAGTTCGACCATCTAGCTGAAAAGATTTCAGCTAGTATATCTAACCCCGCCCCATGAGGGTCATATGTGGCACAAGGCCGAGTTTAATGTGGGCTTTTCAAGCCCGTAGGCTCGGCCAAAAATATTCCCTTTCGAAGCTATATAAACAGGTTCAGGGTCAGTCTACCTCTCCAAATGAGACTCTGCCCTTCGGCAGAGCCTCGTCTGTGTTCCTCTCTGCATGAAGAGAGAGAGAGAGTTCGACTGTGTAGCCGAAAAGATTTCAGCTAGTCTCTGTAGTCCGTTGACTTACAGATTCTTAGATAGTTACTACTGGAATGCAACAACAACAGATACCACTTTTTCTTTTCAGATGCCCTCCGCGCAGCAATGTCCATAATTGTTCTCCTGTTACTGTTTTTCTGTACCTTTTAAATTTTCCTTGGAAATTACTAGTGTATTTTTTTTGTGAAGAGAGGTGGTAAAATGAATTCAATATTAATAAAATATCTTTCTATGACTTATTAATCGATGTCAGTAGCCATAATTAAAATACCTCTCTTTACAAAAAAAAAAAAAAAAAAAAAAAAAAAACATTGGCAGAAACTCGTGTTTACTTAACTACAAAAGTGAATATCCTCACAATTACAAAATAGCTATTATAAAAATAACATGATTTATTGAGCCAAAGTAATTTCTTCTTCGGACATATTATTCTATAAGGAACTTAGCAACATTAAACAAACCCAAATCAACAATAATTTCCCTAACCACGCCGTGGACGAACAAATAAAATCAGCGTCAATGAAATTTAGAAAATGATGCCAGACCCCCTCCCTGACGCAAACAAAAATAAACATACCATTAACTTATTCTATCGTAACCAAATGCACCCTAAGTATAAGCAGTATGAAAAAGCAGTTAAAAACATAATTAATCGGTACCTATCACACAAAGATCCTAACAAACACTTAAGATTTATCATCTACCATCAGTCAGTTATGTGCCATGCGTAATACACGCTTAGGTGATCACTCATCTTTCGATACATGACTGACGAGGCAGATTTTTCCCGCGGTAGTTTGCCATTTCTTTCTGCGGTAGACCAATTGCCATCCAAGGCTATGGAACACGGTCTATCTTGCTATTTACTCATATCTTGGCGGGTGGGGGGAGGAGAAGAAGAGGATTCATATCTTTCCAAAGGCTATTAGCACGTAAGTGAATGTAATGGTTTTGACTAGAATTTGAACTCGGCTCTCCGATTCCTCAATTCGAGCCGCTATCCATTACTTCACCGTTGCTACTATAAAAAGTTTAAAACATCTAACTTAAATATTACCAGCAACATCGGGTCACATAAATGTTCCTATGTAAAAATAATGTTGTCTATGAATTCTCATGTACCCCTGGGCGATCGCATCTCCAAAAGCTAATAATCAAAAATCATTAAATATTTACATTGGGCTCAAATTAAATAACGGATTGAGGTTGATATGCCGTAAAACAAACCAAACCTGAGTTGCTTATAAACGGATTGCTTATTTAAAAAATCGTCTCTGTCTGAATTTCTGGGACGAGGAGTTACCATGATTTACATTCTGGCTATTGTCCTCATCTCTGGTGTTGTTATAACAACGTTTCGGTTGTTGTATCCTCCGGCCTTCTTCAGGTGTTTGTCGCTCCGTGTAACCTTCAGAGAATTTCGAACTAAAAAATTGGGTAGTATATGGTTTTTGCTTCGGCTGTTCATGTCTAGGAACATCACGTCTTGTTCTTGTTTATTAAATGTTCCAATCGTTTTATATTTATACAGATGCGCCGAAAGATGAATCTAATTATAAACGTTACAAATATTCATAGTTTTGTAAGGCACGCGTTTCATTCAATTTGTATATGACATAAAATCCAGTTACATTAGGAAGATGGCGCTAGTGCTGTCTGCTAAAAGAAATTAAAAACAATTCCAGAAACTTATTGAAACTGTATAAAACTGAAATGGTAAAAAAAAAATATTATTATTGTATAATGTAGTTGTGAAACAAAAGTTATACTCTAAATGATACTTAGGGTGTGCGGGTGGTGTAATGGATAGCGACTTGGAATGAGGAATCGGAGAGCCGAGTTCAAATTCCAGTCGGGTTTGTTACATTCACTTATGCGCAAATACACTTAATATATATGAATCCATCTCCCTCAGTTATGGGTTAAATAGTAGGTCTTGTACTTGAAAAATTCAATGTTATTCTAAAAAAAATTGTTGACGCAATATCCACTCGCAAAAAAAAAAAAAAAAAAAAAAAAAAAAGATTATTCTTACAATACAAATATGTTTCGGCTTTAAATAGTAGCAGATAGGTTCGCCTATCGCCCGGTTCCCACTCCTCCCCATTCTTTTGAAAAGGTGTAGGATTTTATCCCGTGTTCCATGTTTAGGATTAGGTTTCCGGTTCCTTCTAAAGTTTTCTCATCCTCTTTCACTCCCAGCAGCTCCTTGCTTCTTAGGGACATTATCGCCTTGCATGGAGTGAATTGAATAAAAATCGACAAAGTGGTTGATAAGCCGTAAAAAATAAAACAAAATACACAATCTAAATGGCACTCAAAACCATTTTGGATATTCTTTACATATTGGGTTTATTAGTTGCCTCGACTTATACACAGAATGTGTTTTTGCTCCTTTCCCAGACTTGCAAAGGTGGGCTTATACAAGAGTATATAAGGTAAATGTTTTACATCAGTTACTTACCACCGGCACAGGGTTCTGAACATGCAGTCACCTTTACAGCCCACTTGTATCGTTGGGCTAAGTTGTTGGTCATATCGGTTGTTGACTGCAATTCTTGCTTTGTCTTCGGAATCGTATATTCATACATGACGCCCATATTGCGACTCTGGACCAAAAGCTGCAAACAGTAAAATTTTCTTTATCAATGTCCGTTACATTGTAACACAATAATTAACTTCTGAGACACTTTTGTTCGTTTTTAAGAATGTAGATCAAATATACCTTTCATAATTTGCATACAGAACCACAAAATATGTCCCAATAAAATATTATAAAAAAGCAAACGTATTTTTGTTTACTTAAAATATAAGACATTGTCTTTATGGCTGACACAGAAAGAAAACCATTGAGAAAAGATAGCAAAGGAAATCGAGAAGAAAGAACTAGTCAGTAACTGCAAGCAGACAGAAAGTATGATTGGCATATAAGAGAAGATGCGAGCTACGAATTGGAGATGGGTGAAGTGTTTTAATCTTTAATACACTTCATTATTAATATTACGTCCCTTTCCACTGAACTCTATTTCAAGGTTTCTCAATTTCAGTAACCTTATTGTTAATTTATTGTTTTTTGTTGCCAAAGTAGTGTATGACAACACAACTATGAAATTCAATTTATTTTGTAGAGCAAATGAAGTCACATACAGAGTGATAATTGTTAACAGAAGACAAAATGTGACATTGAAATCCGAACGCTCATTGGATTAGCGAAAGCTGTATTCGGAAAGTTAAGCAAAGTATTAAGAAATAGAACAAAAAGGACTCAGAAATAGAACAAAAAAAAAGGACTCAGAAATAGAACAAAAAAAAAGGACTCAGAAAAAACAAAAAAAAAAAAAAAAAGACTCAGAAATAGAACAAAAAAAAAAAGGACTCAGAAATAGAACAAAAAAAAGGACTCAGAAATAGAACAAAAAAAAAGGACTCAGAAATAGAACAAAAAAAAGGACTCAGAAATAGAACAAAAAAAAAGGACTCAGAAATAGAACAAAAAAAAAGGACTCAGAAATAGAACAAAAAAAAGGACTCAGAAATAGAACAAAAAAAAAGGACTCAGAAATAGAACAAAAAAAAGGACTCAGAAATAGAACAAAAAAAAAAGGACTCAGAAATAGGACAAAAAAAGGACTCAGAAATAAACAAAAAAAAAGGACTCAGAAATAGAACAAAAAAAAAAAGGACTCAGAAATAGAACAAAAAAAAAGACTCAGAAATAGAACAAAAAAAAGGACTCAGAAATAGAACAAAAAAAAAAGGACTCAGAAATAGAACAAAAAAAGGACTCAGAAATAGAACAAAAAAAAAAAAAAAAAGACTCAGAAATAGAACAAAAAAAAAAAAGACTCAGAAATAGAACAAAAAAAAAAAAAAGGACTCAGAAATAGAACAAAAAAAAAAGGACTCAGAAATAGAACAAAAAAAAAGGACTCAGAAATAGAACAAAAAAAAAGGACTCAGAAATAGAACAAAGAAAAAGGACTCAGAAATAGAACAAAAAAGGACTCAGAAATAGAACAAAAAAGGACTCAGAAATAGAACAAAAAAGGACTCAGAAATAGAAAAAAAAAAAGGACTCAGAAATAGAAAAAAAGACTTAGAAATTTTGAATTTTAAAAAAAATTGTTATGTGACAATTTTCTCAAGGATGAAGAAGAAATTGAGTCAACAGAAATGGGATTCTACAGAAGGATACTGAGAATTCCATGGACGGAGCGCGCAAGCCTGAAATAAAATGGCAATAAAAGAACATCTATACTCAGAATCAGAAATGTGTGTGTGAGTGAGAGAGAGAGAGAGAGAGAGAGAGCAAATGAATACAGAAAGTCAAATTTCACAATTAAAGATAAGAATATTAATTAACAATGTCTAATAATTAAATTATAACTAATAAAAGATTCATTCTTAGAAAAGATCCTAGCAAACACGGTTTATAATTTTTTTCTGTCCTTATTAAATTGAGAACTTTTAAAGATTTTCACTTGAAGAAAGCATTTTCTGGTTTTCTCTTCACCTGAATGACCAGCATCAAGCTTCTTGCACTTTGGTAGCAGTATTATCTTTCTTGGATTGACTATGGGAAACTAAAACTAGTTGTGAAAATGGATATACATTATTGGGTTGTCAGATAAATTTATTCTTTTATTCCAATGTTATTTGTATTAACCCACAAATTATTTTTACCGTAGTGTTTCATGTTTTTTGTTTTGTAGTTCGGTTCTTCCTCGACAACTTTTGTTTTATCCCTTTTGAAATTTGATTAGATTTTATCACATTTCAAGAATAAGAAAGTGGAATGGCAAGCAGACAAAAATGAGCGTTTTCGGCACCTGCTTTTTCAACAACGCTTGTTATTATGTCGCTAATTTAAGTAAAAATACCATTCAAGAGCTTGGTTGGGAAATTCTACTACACACACTGTATTGTTTTGAGAGCGCCTTTGGATTATCATATTTTTCAGGTGCTTTCTGCGAGGCGTTTTGTCCAACAACGATGTGGAGTTATTTGAAAACGTGACTATGAATTCTTCAAGTCAAGAATGGCGATTTTTACTGCCTAGTTATAGACAAAGTAGTGGAATATTAGCAAGTCGTGAATAAGGAATAAGCATATATTCGTTGAAACTGTTGATGAATAACAGGATTAAAATAATGAAAAAAAAATAACAAAAAAAAAAAACACGAAAAATGTTATCCGATAAACTAGCAACATCGATTACACCATGATTGATGTTTGTCGACAGAAGATTTTTTAAAATCTGGAATTCAAAATTTTCCCCAAATAATGCAGCGGTTATAAAAATAAAAGATTCGATATAAATTAGCCAACTTAATAATTAATTAGATTTTGAAAAAACAAAAACTTTTTACTTAAAACAGTTAAAAATTATTTTTTTGTAGCAGGTACCTTTTTCGGGTAAAGTTCAAAAGGTAAAGTGGGTATTGGATTAGATTTCTTTACTTACAAGTTGGATGTGCGTATAACGACTCGGAAAAAATCGGCAAACCTAGTTCGAATTCCGGTCGAGTTTGTTGCGTTCACTTTCGCACACTCATAGGAAATGAATGAATTTGTCTAATCACCCCAGCCCTGCCACCAGCTGGGGGCTAAACAGCAGGGCTGACTGGGCTCTCGTCTTAAGGTGGCAACCAGTCTAGGAGAAGGAAAAACTGAATTCAAAACCAACCTGAAGAAGGAAGGGCTCCGTCAGGTTATATTATTTTAGACATCCAGTTTCTGTTATCACTTCATTATATGTGGTTCCCTGACCCGTCGAATTAATGGGTCACAAGTCTCGTGATGTGACCCACCAGTTATGAAAAACAGTTCAAATTCATGAGCATCCCATGCAATAGTTGAAATATGGATGGCTAAAGGTGACAAAACCTGATATTACCCACAAGAGCAGAAATATATTTACAACATTAAAACACTGACATGACGGGCAACACGTGTCAATGAATCAACACCGTATAGACACGAGTCGATTGTTGAACACTTTAAATTTGACAAGTTAAAAAGAAAGCGTATCTTTTTTCCTTCAAGAATAAACTATTCTTGAAGGACAGAGGTTCTCACAACTGGAGAGGAATCCCCCCCGGGGAGGAATTTCAGGGTTTCATCGGGATGAGGAGCGGATATTATACTTTTTTTTTCTTTACAACTTACTCGTTGATTGTAATCTTCATCAGAAAAAAATCGATTTAAATACCCTGATGTTTTATTGAATTTTTTGTTTATTGAATCACAATACTCTGGCATTCTATTGAATTTTTTGTTTATTAAAATATGCTTCAGTGTACTTATTTAATAAGACTTATGAAAATTTATGAATTAAATCAAATTACTGAACATGTATTGAAATTTAAAAATCCGTCGATATTTTCTACTGCTATTAAAATTGTAAAACTCCCCTGTAAAAATAATCTATGGAAATGTGTATGTACTAATATGGAAAAAGATGAAGATTTTTATTAATATATATGTATATTTGGAATGCACCTTTTAAGTCGGACAATGGTGAAAATGGCTCATTGTATTCATGTTTAAAAATCCGTCAATATTTTCTATTGCTATTAAAATTGTAAAACTCCTCTGTAAAAATAATCTATGGAAATGTTTATGTACTAATATGGAAAAAAAATGAAGATTATTATTAATATATATGTATATTATTTGGAATGCACCTTTTGAGTCTTGGAATCTTGGAAAGCGGGGGATGATATTCGGATTCACGGTGAAAAGAGCGCACATTCAGTAAAAAGTTGTTCACCAATGGTCAAGCAATACCCAAAGTAAAGGTAAATGCTCATCTGAGGCAAACATTTTTCATTTTCCAATTAAGGTAGATTATTTTCTTGGACAAAAGTTAACATAATATATTCAGCAATTCGGACTGATTTTGTTTGTTTATGGGTCATTTAATGCCGAAATTTAATTTTCTGGGGAGCATTAGTAATTTTCTTTACAAAAATGTATTGCTGGTAATTTTTAATTTTTTTTTTTTTACAAAAATATATTGCTGGTATTTTTACTATAAAAATCTATTTTTATACTGCCATAGTGTTTTGATCCCAGTTTTGGGATTAACTATTTGCCGATAGCTGGGACCCTAACAGGTGCCGCCACCCTGGGTCAGGGAACAGCAGCAATTAATCAGTGATTCCACGCTCCTCAAAAGCTCCAATCTCCCGATCAGAGGTCTTACTGCCGGATAGAGTTTATCGTCATACCCAGGACAGGAAGTGTTAAAAATATTTAAAATTTGTTACATGCCCGCCTTTTCAGGACAGACAATGTTTGAATAAAGCAAGGGGCGATCAACAACAAAATAGCGAGCTGTGTTGTGTTTTTCTATGACGACTTTTTCTGAGCGATGTAAATGTCCATCAAAACGTTTCTTACCTCCAAGACAATGTCTTCTTTCAAAGGTCCGGCGATTTCCAAAGATTCCGGACTATTGTAAGGCCTCCTGTATAAAAACTTGGTCGAATGTTCTCCGCGTGAATAGATACCCGACCAAGCTACCCTTTTCTCACCATTAAGGTAGTAGTTTCCGTCCACAGTACGTAGGGCTATGTAGTTAGGTGAAGCAACCCGTTCTTGCACTTTGATATGGCGAGCCCCACTCGGTATGACAACAATGGGATAGTAGGCTTCATAAAAACAAAGGAAAAAAAAAGAAAAAAATTGACATTAGCTTTTAATCTGTATGTTGACATCGAAAATCAAAAAGAAAGGGATTGTCAGAGAACAATAAGGAATGCAAGTATTATTGATAAAATATTATCTGTATAATGTAAATGCATTGCTCATGATTTTACTAAAGGAATGCATTGAAAATGAGGAAGAAAGGGATTGTCATTGATCAAGAATAAATGCAAGTATTACTGATAGAATAAAACTATTATATGTATAATGTAAATGCATTGCTAATGATTTTACTATAGGAATGCATTGAAAATGAGGAAGAAAGGGATTGTCAGTGGTCAGGAATTAATGCAAGTATTACTGATAGAATAAAACTATTATATGTATAATGTAAATGCATTGCTAATGATTTTACTATAGGAATGCATTGAAAATGAGGAAGAAAGGGATTGTCAGTGGTCAGGAATGAATGCAAGCATTACTGATAGAATTGGGCTATTATATGTATAATGTAAATGCATTGCTAATGATTTTACTATAGGAATGCATTGAAAATGAGGAAGAAAGGGATTGTCAGTGGTCAGGAATGAATGAAAGCATTAATGATAGAATAGGGCTATTATATGTTTAATGTAAAGGCATTGCTAATGATTTTACTATAGGAATGCATTGAAAACGAGGAAGAAAGGGATTGTCAGTGGTCAAGAATGAATGCAAGCATTACTGATACAATAGGGCTTCTATTTGAATAATGAAAATGCTTGGTAATGATTTTACTATAGGAATACATTGAAAATAAGGAAGAAAGAGATTGCGAATGGTCAGGAATGAATGCAAGCCTTACTGATAGGATAGGGCTAATTATAGGAATACACTGAAGAAAGGTTTTGTTAGTGGTCAATAATTACATGAGTAATGTACAAAACATGTACATTACTCTGTGTGTATATAAAAATATAGTTTTTAGCTACACTATATTTATTGGTTAAAGTGTTCGATAACAGTGAGAGAGCGTATGTAAATATAAAAGTGGACATTGAGGTCAACGCTCAGAGGTGACAGTCTATTTCACGCTTAAACGCATTCATCAAGCCATCCTGACGACACATAAAACAGACTCTGGGCGCTGACTTCAATGTCCAATATATATATATATATATATATATATATATATATGCACGGAAAGTCCTCGGATTAGGTGGGACACGACGTACGGCGTTTCGTGGTTACGGCGCCATCTCCGATAATATAATACGTCGTCACGCGGCGCTATATAAGTAAGAATGCGTTGTGTCTTCACCGGCTGTACGCCATATTGGATTGTGCTACATTCGCTATCTCTCGTTTGTGTCGTTTTTGGGGGAACTTCATTATGGCTACCCCAAGCGTAAGGCAGATTCATGGGTGCTTATGTACGTCGAAAATCAGGTTACGTGGAGTCGTCGAAGGGATCACTGACGTAAGTCGAGGACATCTCTCTCTCTCTCTCTATATATATATATATATATATGTTTTTTTTTTGTGTAATAATTAATAATTTTGACATAAGACGCACAGAAGTCATGACCCCATTCACGTCTACACGTAAAAAGATACCGCGCTGACAAACTCCAAAGAAGTCCCCCTCTTTCCCTCTCTCTGCGAACTACGATCAAAGCGAAAGGATTGATGGAAAGAAGCCAAGAAATAGGTACACAACTTCAAAGAAAGAATAAGAGAGAGAGAGAGAGAGAGAGAGAGAGAGAGGTGGAAATAGAAAGGGATAGAGAGAGGAGATAAATATATGTCCGACAAAACTTGGCTGAGGTTTATATTTTATTTCAGTTTGAATTAAACTTCACATAAAGTTACTTTTCAACAAGGTGACTTGAATTGTGGGATCGACTAGCACTAGCGATGCTTTTTTAATTTCTCAGAAAATTTGACTCTCAAGAACACCCAAGGTGTGTCACAAAAGCGCGTGACCTAAAGCTGTGCGTGCGCACGCACTCACACACACGATGAGGATAAAATACGCATATCTTTTCTGAGGTGTTTATAAATTTTACACTGGTCAATTATTAACGTTAACAACGAACTATTTTAAATTACAAAATTGTACTTGGATTAAACGAATATTACTTACAATAGAATAAATATTACTTATAATACATTCCTACTTGCCGTTAATTTTGACGGCACGGGTACACTAGTATTAAAATATTTATTTTAATGATGGCGCTTTCCGAATTACACTATTCGCATCTCGATGTTTTGTGAAAGTAAAGTTAAATGTGACTTTCCACTTAAACATTTCAGACGGGACGACGACTACTACTACTTATTTTATATGACTTTATTTTATTTCAGCCACCCCTACGAAAATTAATGGGTAGGAGGAAATTGACTTGATATTTAAGATTAATAGGAAAAAATATAAAGAAAAATCAAAAATAGCAGGATAGATATATTACAGCATTTCATCATAATTTTCCTATGACTTAATACTCTGCTTATTTTCTGGAAGGCATTTTTTCGCTCTTCGTATTCACTGTTGAGAGTTAAATTTGGGTGGTTTCTTCCTGATTTGTAGTATAAGTGTCCGTTTTATTTCACATTTTAAACAACGTCGAGCCTGGTCAGTACCGAGATGGGTGACCACTTCGGAATTCCAGGTGTTGTAAGCTTTGATGTGCGGATAGTGTAAATGATACTGAACTCGGAATTGTTCATCGGAGAACCGAGTTCCAATTCCAGTTAATTTAAGTATATTCACTTACGCGCAAATACCCTTGGGAAAGGTACGCATCCACCTGTTCTTCCCCATCTATGGGTTAATTAGTAAGTATTTTATCCTCAAAACCATTATTATCTCCATAATAATAACAAAATTGCGGACAAAATATTTAAATTAAGCATTAAATAACCCATCGAGGTATTGATGCGCCGTTAAATAAAAACAGTCAAATAAATCTACAAGCTCCTCGTTGTTCTAATGTTCTGCCTTGGATATTTTCGGTATCCATTTGTAGAAGACCATTTTTGTTGCTTTTTTTTATCTGTAAGGAATTGTCCAGTACTTGGAGGACATATATGGCATACTATTACTTTTGTTTGTAACGAGATTTTCCTGTTTTAATACTTGACTTAGTTTCTAGAAGGCATCTTTCGTTATTCCTATTTGCTTTTGGCAGTTAACGGATCCTAAAATAGAGTGACATGTTAACTAGAATCGTGCTAATCGAGCCTAAAATAATGATAAACTTTTAACGGGAGAGTGCTTGTAAAATCTGTTTGTAGAAAGAGATAGGCAAAGGACCTGCTTACATTTACTGCTGACCTGATCCGAGAAATAACCTCTTACGACATGACACGTGTTGTTGTTCCCGTTGCATTGGCCACACGCATCATTCCTGGCATTCGAACCCACAACCCTGTCGCAGCCGACTGCCTATAATTATAAAACAAAATGCAGATTAAGCAAAATAGAAGGGTGATATTCCGCATTTGACTTTCATGCAACCTGAAATTTGAAATTTCTACGCAAAATTTGAATGATAATGTGTGTTTGTCGATTAGGCATTATTTATATTTGGTGGTTGTCCGCAGGTTGATTTGGTGACGTATTTACGCCAACACCGGTTGTGGGAGCGGTCGATAAACATACATTGGATTCTTTAAGAATCGATTTAATAAAAGTTGGTGATTCAATATAGTGTTTTTAACGCGTGTTTATTGTTGGTAAAATATTCATCAGGTCTGCTCCGAATTACTTTCGTCGTAAAGAATTGTGTTCTTTTTTTAATTAGAGTGGCATTTGTAAAATCAAACTTATGGCCAGTTTTGTTCCTGTGTATTAAAAGCGAAGCTAAACGACTGTCCCAACATTGATTCCTCTTATGCTCTTAGATGCAGGTTTTTACATTGCGAGATGTCTCGCCAATGTAGGTGTTTTTACATTGCAAGCACTTTATTTGATAAAGCCCGGTATCTGAAGTGGTTTTGTATTTATTTTTATTCCTAATTATATCTCCGATTGTCTTGGAAGTGGTGTTAAAGATCCCAGTGTTGGGGATAACGAATTCATTTTCAAATTTTTGTAGAAAGAGGGTGGGATTATGAATTCTGTGTTGCTGACGTTAGAAGTTTTATCGGCTAATTTAAAGCTGGCCATAACTTTGATTTGACAGATGCAACCCTAATTAAAAAATAACAGTTTATATGTTGACAACCACAAAACATAAATAATGCTTACAAGACATACACACACACACACATATACATGGCCTGACGATTGCATCTAGCATGAAACAGACTGTCGCCTCTAAGTGTTGACTTCAATGTTCACTTTTATATTTACACACGCTCTATCTCTGATATTGAGCACTTTATCCCATAAATATAGCACACCTTAAGATTATTATATTTCATATATATATATATATATATATATATATATATATATATATATATATATATATATATATATATATGAATTACATAAAACTGAAACACCTCATTCGATGCTCTATAATAAATATATTGAGCGCTCTTTTGTGAATCAGTTTTCATATTTTATAATAGAATTCACTTGAATTACTTACCCACGGATTTTATATATAACAACATGTCTGCCCGCACACACAATTCCGTAAAATACTTGTCGAAAACACAATTATACTTCGACATGAAAATAATAGACAAAAACTAAAAATCCTTGAAGCATTATACATCAAACAGTTGAAACCCAACCTAAACAAAATCAACTATGGAATCTCTACAAATATCCTTAAATGTCTGTAGTTGGTGACGGAGGCCATTGGTTTTTGCCAACGGCTTAACATACTTCATACATCTCCAATTCACTCTCGCGTGGTCATGTGTGACGTCATGAGATGCGGTGCGATTTTCGCCTCTAGCGTCTTTATATGCACGTGTTTATCGTTGCTTAGAGATCATCTATGTAAACATTCACAGACTGTCATCACTGTCTTGTCCGTATATTGCTTAATATGTTGTAATTGACATCTTTGATAATGGCTTATGTAAGCTGAAAGCTTAGATTGTATTAAAAAAATATGGATCAATATTGTGAATTTCTTTCTTCGTACAATTATAATGTTATTAAACTTATTAGACGTTATGAAAAGAGTTTACATAAAATAAATAAACACTTGTCTATATTATTTAATGAAACGTGTATTAATATATATATATATATATATACACGAATATACATTATCATCTGAATACCGCATACACAAACTAGAATTAGAATCACTTACACACATAAATTATACACACGAATACTGCTTCACAAGTCAAATGTACGGGAAGTCTGCCTAACCAATGAAAATCAAACAACACAAATATAAAAATACCAGAAGTGATTTTTCTACATATTTCATTCTCTGTTAAACTTTTAATAAATGAGAAACATGTTAGATCTATAAACGTTTTCCATTTGTTCTTTATCTTATTATTCTGTCGGATTCAGCTCCATATTTGATTCCAATTCACACACACACACATACTATCTCTCTCTCTCTCTCTCTCTCTATATATATATATATATATATATATATATATATAGCTAAGTATATGTGTATGTTTTCTATGTTGACATTGTTTAAAATTTTCAGATAGAGTATATCTGTAAAAGGACAATATGAATAAAGACAAAAGGAAACTTATCTTAGCCGACGCGTTTCATCCTCTGAGGGACTTTATCAAGAAAAATGAGGACCAAACACGTCGGCCAAGATAAGTTTTCTTTTTGTCTTCATTCATATTGTCCTTTTACAGATATAGTCTATCTGAAACTTTTTACATTGTCGACATTAAAAAGAAAAACATACGCTGAGCTAGATGTTATATATATATATATATATATATAGTACAGGTAATCCATCCGTTGGTATATAACCCGGGTGGATCCTAGTAATAAAACTGGTCTACAGAGAGCTCGATGTATTTACTATAAAAGAGCATATGTATTTTTATATTGTAAAAAAAAAACAAAAATTTATCAACATGGGGAAAGTCTATATATATATATATATATATATATATATATATATATATATATATATGATGGAAAATCTAACTTGCTGCCTGAAGATACTAGATGTGGGAAATCAGGGTAGCGGAAAAGTCAGTTTTACTGTAAAATTTTGTCTTAAATTACTCTGTATTTTCGTTATCTGATTTTGTATTGAAAACTTTATTTTTAACTGATTATATATATCACCCCACGTTATTTTTGCATATCCTTTATCCCCTCGTATAACCAGGACGTTAAGTCGTATTTCCGTTCCTATCATTTTCATCTATTTATATCTACCATCTCGGTTTTATATATATATATATATATATATATATATATATATATATATATTTCAACCTGTGTTAACTATCTATCGTAATCTGTTCGTATCTATTTATCTCCACTAAATTCCTTCACAATCTGTTGTGCCATTCAAACCAAAGTGCCCTACATCCTGGAATCACGAACATTTCGACATTGAAGAAACACAGCAAAAGGAAACACCTTCTATTCAAGAGTCGGGAATCTAGGCAAGTGGCCAGACAATCTTTCGTACATATCAACCATTTCTAGCTCCTCACCACCCACGCAACTGACTTACACCATTCCTTAAAAGAACATTCTCCGACCCACCTGTCCCGATCCCTGACGTTAGGACAACTTGCAAAGAAGGTCGACAGAATTAACCACGCCTTTTCAAGAGAATACCAAAACTACAGGTGAAAAGAGCAAAGTTTTTTTTTTAATTCTTTCTCCCCGCTTTCCGACAATTCATAAATTCAAGCATGTTGATGTTCCGGCATGGTTAGGGGAATGTGTTTTTTGGAGGAGGTTGTTAATCATTTCATCTCAAGCAAGGCAATAAAGCCACTAAGACGTAAAGTGAGAGATGAATATAAGAAAAAGTGTGAGAGAATACGAGAAAAAGAAAGACTATTAACGAGAGAAAAAAGAACAGAAATTAAGAAAATAACAATTGACATTGTATTTAAATTTTAGAAGATCGAAGTTGACTGGGAAGCAAGAATCCGGAAGAGAGTTCCACCATCGAGAAGTGTGATAGAAGAAACTGTTAGCATAGAACTTACGGTTACATCTAGCCATTTCGACTGAATATAAGAAAAACACCATTAAGGAGCAAGGACAATAAAAGAAGAGAATTTCAGACGACAGAGGAAAATGATTGACATTGCATTTACATTTTTGAAGATCGAAGTTGACTGAAAAGCAAGAAGCTGGAAGAGAGTTCCACCATCAAGAAGTGTGATAGAAGAAACTGTTAGCATAGAACTTACGGTTACATCTAGCCATTTCAACTGTAAGATGATAAGACCTTGCCGTTAATCTAATAATAAATGTACTATATATAATCGAGTATAGTAAGACTTGTTACTATCGAAAAAATAGGGGCCGCATTAAACACAGGGAATTTTTTTTGAAGAGGTTAAAAATGTTCAGTGACAGATTGCACTATATATAAGTAAATTTTTTTTCTGGAAGGGATAAAATTCAAGCAAAAAATTATTTATAGAAAAGTTACAGGGAAGCTACCTTACTTTATTGGGTTGCACAATAAGATGAAGACAAAAAAAAAGAAAAGAAAAAAAAGAAACAACAAAAACCTAAAAATCATCTGTCTTGGGTATGACGGTAAGCTACATTCGGCAGAAAGGTCTCTGATCAGAAGGTTTTGAACCATCTCTAAATTATTTTTGTTCCCAAGTCCACCCTAATCCGGGGTGGTAGTACCTGTTAGGGTCCCAGCTATGGGCAAATAGTTTTTTACTCAAACTTGGGTCAAAATATTATGAAATAATAAAAATAGGTTTTTACAGTAAAAATACCAGTAATACATTTTTTGGAAAAAATATTACCAGCAATACACTTTTTGAAAAAATTATTACAAGCAATACATTTGACACTCGACAAAATCCTCTTTAAAAATACTTCAATGAAACCGAACCAATCAACTGGTTTCTTACAAAGAATACATATTCTGTTCATATAAGTGCAAGAAAAGAAACTGTTAGAGAAGAAGTAGCGATTGCATTTAGCTAGTTCAACAGTAAAAAGGTGAGACCTAATTGCCAATCTAGTAGCACACTTAAATTTATGTCGTCGGGACACCAAGGAAAAAAGGCTCCTCAGAACAGTTGCCACGAAAATATTTGTATAAGAGGCAGAGGAAAGCCGCGTCACGTCGGTGAGAAAGTGAGTGAAGTCGAGATGCTTGGTCAGGATCGTTTACATGACAGAACCTGGTTTGGATATTGTAAACAATCTCGAGATATACACCAGGAAAAACCAGACAAGATATGACAATGGTATTCAATGCACGGGTGAATAGTATATCTGTGAATGTACAAAATGGATTCAGACGAGAAAAATGTTCTCACAAATATATTATTTTAAATGGATTCAATTTGAAATTTGATTACTTTGTTATCAGCGAAGCGACCGGTAAGAAGCCTATAATAATAAAAATCATAGGCCATTATGAAATCGACCTACAGATTTCGAACTGTGGCTAAGGTAGAGGCGTCCTCGTGTGGGGAAAGAGTGTTCAATATTGGTCATATAGCATTTGTAAATATAAAAAAAAAACGTGGACAGAGAAATCAACACTGCATGATGAGCAGTTTTAAGCCAGTGAAAAATTCAAAGAATTTGTTGATCAATATTTGACGATCGCTTAAGGCGTAAAACAATCAATCACGATGTAGTGTTTTTTGTTCACCCCCATTCCTGTATATCAGGGGTTTACAATCAGAAGGCAATCCTCCCCAGGAGTATTTCAGGGAGAATCTTTTACTTTTTCTTGTTTTTTATTTACAGAATTATGTTTATTGAATTACAATACCTTGGTATTCTATTGAACTTTTTTTTATTGAAGTAAACTTCAGTTTATTTATTTGATATTTAGTTATGAATTAAAATAAATTACTGTACATGTATTGAAGTTTAAAAATCCATTAACATTTTCTATTGCTATTAAATTTATAAAACTCCTCTATAAAAATCATCTATGTAAATGTATATGTAATAATATGGAAAAGAATGAATATTTTTCAATAAGAGATGCATGAAGCAATTGGTAGTGTATGTCACCAATGCTGCAAGTAAGTGGGGTTACTACTATTATAAGTGTGGGCTTTTTGCTGTAGTAGTAAAAGAAAAGTATAACAAGTGACTGTAACTTTAACTATCTAGCTCCAAATTGCAGCATAGAAACCTTCTGGGTTAATGTTGAAAAGGAATTCTGAGGAAAAACATAGAACAGAAAACAACGGGATATTGAGTTGAAACGTTATTCGCTTTTATGTAATTATATCTTGGTAATAAATTTGCCCACGTGTTTTACTTGGGGTATGTTAAATTGTTTGTTTGTTTAGCGGCATATCAACTCCTTATGGGTCATTTAATGCCGAAATTTAATTTTCTTGGGAACATTAGTAATTTCTTTGAAAAATGTTTTGTGTTAATTTTTTTTGTTACAAAAATGTATTGCTGGTATTTTTACTATATTTTTGTTATACTTTCACAGTGTTTTGACCTCGTTTTAGGGGTTAACAATTTGCCCATAGTTGGGACCCTAACAGGTGCTATTACCCCGGATCAGGGTGGATCTGGGAACAACAGCAACATAAGAGGTGGTTCCATTCTCTTCAAAACTTCCTGATCAGAGACCTTGCTGCTGGATGTAGTTTATCGTCATACGCAGGACGGTGTTAAATTGCAATATGTGACACAGTACATAAATATTTTTAATATTATGATTATTTGTTTATATTATGTATACTTATCTCTATCTATAAAAAACAGGATGTGTGTGTGTGTGTGTGTGTGTGTGTAATGAATGCACGGCCGTAACTTTCGACGGATTTGCACCAAAATTTACCTGCACATGCTCCAAGTTAGCGGGAAGGCCAGGACCGGCTTTGCATTTCCCAACTCCCATCGATAGTGGAAATAATCGATTTTTTTCATACTTCTACGGCAGTTTTCATGTAGTTTGTGGTCATTTTGTACTGGCCAGAGTGAGAGCCTATAGCTGGCTACCACGAATAGGCAGGAAGATTCTATTGGCCAGCGTGAGAGCCAACAGCTGACCGTCACGAATGTTAACTAGCATGCTAGCATGCAAAAAAAATCGATAGCTGTATTCGTCACAAGTGGGAAAAATTTAAATCTGCATGGCACTTTACTCCAATTGGCTCATTCGCTTGCTTAAACTCAACGTTGATTCTGATTCCGCAGAACTGGGTTGGGTGTGAAAAAGTATTTGTTGATAACATTCTTTTTATTTGGGGTAGACTGTTCTATCTAGTTCCACGTGCCATGTCTAATGGATATCAGTTATCTCCTGTTAATTCACATGGCACGTAGAACTAGAACAGCCTACTTCAGTGAGCGAAAATAAAGGGTTCAGTTCGACATTTCAACTACCTGAAGAAGGCCGGAGGGTGCAACGGCCGAAACTTTGTAATAAATATGGCGACAAAGATGAGGACAATAGTCCGAATAATGTAAATAGTGTACAAAAAAACAAAAAAACAAAAAAAAAAAAAAACGTTGAAAATCATTGTTGTATATGTAAGAAACAATCAAGACCTACCTTACACTGACCGTTGACACACACCGACTTTTCCTGAGTACTACATTTCATCCCGTCACTGGCCTGGTGGGTAACCGTAAATCTGTAATTGTAGGCCACAGCCGTACAGTACAACTTGCAAGGTTCCTGAACTGAAACAGACACCAATCAAATATTAACAGGATTGTCCAAAGTTCGTATATGAATGTCGGTCATTATTATTAATTTTTGGTTAGTTTTTCTTTCATTTTATTTCTCTTTGCCTTTTTTCAAAAAAAGAAGATCGTAGAATAATTTATTCAACGCGACTTCGAATTTCAGTGACATTCTTTCCATCCTCTGTTAAAACAGTTAATATAGGATAGGTTGATATTACATAACAGTTCAGTACTCTTTCCTCAGTTTCTAACAAAATTTGCATGTTTCTTAATACTTTGTTTAGCTTTTGGAAGGCATCTTTTGCAATGCCAATGTGCCTTCGGATTTCAGTGTCACATTTTCGGTCCTTTATTAGAACATTTCCCGTATATTTTACATTTTTGTACACGTTTGCTTTTGGAATCCTCAATTTCTCCTCCTTTAGCTAACAACCTTGTCTTCTTGCAGTTGATGTTTAGTACTTCTCGCTTTTCTTCACTACATTATGCGGAAGTTCTTTTAGGATTCTTTCACTACGCCCTCTAGGAGATCGATTCTCTTGATTTCCTCCAGGGATACAATGAGAGAATTATGGGTCCAACGACTGACGATCACAGTCAGCAGACATTCACTGATATTACATAACAATTCAGTACTCTTTTCTTTATTTCTATTGCTTCAAGTCTCTTCTTCATCTCCTAGGAGATTGTACAGCATTCACTGCCACATAGGAGGACTGATATTACATAACAATTTAGTATACGTTTCTATGTTTCTGTTGCTTCAAGTCTCTTCTTCATCTGTGAGGAGACTGTCCAGCATTCACTGTCATATGGAAGAACTTATATTACATAACAGTTCAGTATTCTTTTCTTTGATTCTAACGGAATTTTTCTATTTCTTAATACTCTGCACAGCTTTTGAAAGGCATCTTTGTTTATTTTAATCCGACTTCGGATTTCTGTGTAGCACTTTCTGACCCTCTGTTAAAACACTTCCCAAATATTTCAGTAGTGTCTGTAAATCTGTAATTGTAGGCCACAGCCGTACAGTACAATTTGCAAGGTTCCTGAACTGAAACAGACACCAGTCAAATATTAAAAGGATTGTCCAAAGTTCGTATATGAAATTCGGTCATTATCATTAAGTTTTGGTTAGTCTTTCTTCAATCTTATTTCCCTTGCTTTTTAAAAAAAAAAAAGAAAAAAAAAAAAAAAAAAGCTCGTAGAATAATTCCTCCAACGCGACTACGAATTTCAGTGACAATCTTTCCATGCTCTGTTAAAACACTGTTAATATAGGATAGATTGATATTATATAACAGTTCAGTACTCTTTCCTCTGTTTCTAACGAAATTTGTCTGTTTCTTAATACTTTGCTTAGCTTTTAAAAAGCATCTTTCGCAATCCCAATGCGCCTTCAGATTTCAGTGTCACATTTTTGGTCTTTGGACTTGTTAGGTTTTGGTATCTCCAATTTCTAATTAGCATGTTGGACTCATCCTTTTGCTAACAACCATACATTCTGTCTGCTTGCAATTGAGGTTTAGTCCTTTCTTCTCGCTTTCCTTCACTACTTTCCGTAGGAGTTTTTATAGTTTTCTTTCTATGCCTGCTATCAAAAATGTACCATCTGAATATCAAATGCTGTCAAAATTGTTGCCGCCAATAATGAATCCTGGTAGGACTTGATTCTCTCAGAATCGCCTCACTGTAAAGATTGAATAAGTCCGGTGAGAAGACTCATCCTTGTCTTACACCCCTTTCTATTTTTGGATATCTACTGAACTTATTTTCTTTTTAGGAAAAGCAAAAAGAAATAGCTAAACATCAATTGAAAGATGACAGAATGTATGGTTGGTAGTAAAAAGAAAAACCCAATGTGCAAATTACAAATTGGGGATACCACAATCAAGTAAGTACAAAAATTTAGGCATCTGGGAAGGGTTTTAACAGAGGACGGAAAGTGTGACACCAAAATCCGAAGGCGCATTTGGATTTCGAAAGATGCCTTTCAAAATCTAAGCAATATATTAAGACATCGACAAAAATTCGTGAGAAACAAAGGAAAGTGTACTGAACTCTTATGCAATATCAATCCTCCTATACGGCAGTGAAACCTGAACGATGTCCTCACAGATGAAGAAAAGACTTGAGGCAACAGAAATGTGATTCTACAGAAGGATGCTGAGAATATCATAAACTGAACATGGGGACAATGACGAAGATGTAGAGAAAATGGAAACAAGAAGGATATGTATACTTAACACCCGAAAGAGTCGAAATTTCTAGAGAACATAATGAGGAAAGAAGACTTAGGAAATGTTACACTCACAAGACATATTGAATGCATGTGGGACAGAGGAAAACAACGAATAACCTACCTAATGGTTGGCAGAATAGGGTTTCAGTAGAGATAGCAAAAAGACAAAATTTACAAAGAGCTACAAAGGACTGTAAATTTTAAAGAGCCATGATCACCAATGCCACGAAAAAGGAGAAAGAGAATCATTATTATTATTATTATAAATAAATACGATTTGTCTGTTAACTATTCTATGGTATTCATATATTTTATATAGTTATCAAATGCTTACGTCAAAACAGTCAGGAAAGTTCTGATTGGACTAAAAGCAGTGGTAACCTAAATTTACACAGGTAAATGACAGGTCGCCATTTTCAGGAGAGGCAAACGGAAATGAAATAAATTTCAACAAGACGATATTTTCATGTGTGATTTTTAAAAAATATATAACTGAGTAACAAAGGAGTGAAAGTACATTAGTATGTATGTAAAAGAATTGATTGTTTGCTTAACGGCATATCAACAACTTATGAGTCATTTTATGCCGAAATTTAATTTTCATGAGAGCTTTGATATAATAGAAATACGATATGTCATTGTGCTTTCACAATTGAATACATGGTAGATGACACTGAGCTTTTGTGCATATACATGTTTGTGTGGACATAATTACTACAGGTGGTGATATGTATTGTATATTGTGGTTTTTTTGAAGTTATATTTTGAAATACATTTCGATTGAAAAAAATGTATATTATATGGATTAATGTTATGAAAACGTTCTTTTATGTTGTTTGGTTGATTTTGTTTAGTGGCATATCAACATCTCTATGGGTTATTTAATGCCGAAATCTAAATATTTTGAACAATTTTATGGCTTTAACTAGATAAATTTGGAACGCAATTGCATGCCTTTAATTACAGATAAAATGTATTGTTGGTCATTTTACTATAAAAATGTACTTTTTATATTTTCATAGTGTTTTGTTTGGAGGTACATTATTTGTCTGCCGCTGGGACCTTCACGTGTGCTATCAGACCAGGTTAGGGTGGACCTGGGAACAACAATAATTTATGTAGTTTATCGTCAGACCCAAGATTTATGTAAAAGAAAGGAGACATTAAAATTTAGAAATTATCAATTGTGCATGCGATAAATTTCAGTCATTAAAGGGAAAAATGATCTCCATGCCTGGGACAAAGTCCTGCGCTAGTGTTGCTTTTACTGAATTGCTGGAAGGAAAAGAGAAGTGTTTTGTTTTTATAGCTGTCTAACAGCGCCATCTAACTGTTGTCTATATTTCCAGTATGGATGAAGGTTACAATCCACACCTTTTATTGGTATAGTGTGGAACGACAATGATTTTCTCTTCAAGTTACATATGATGTACATTTTAGGTGTTACTGTTGTTGAATGTTCTCAACTCATGTAGTTTTTGATAATTGGTACAGTTCTTTGTTGGTGATTCTGTAGCGCCAGTCGATGAGGTTTGAAGAAAGATGGTCCTCGTTAAGGCCTTCAAGATTCTTTTGATCCAAACACTTTTTTTAAAGGATTTTTATAGTTGAAAAATACGAAAATTAATAGAGATTCAATGTATGTGTGTTGCTCTTTGGAATAGTGAAGGTGTCAAAAGAGATTAAGGGAGTTTTAGAAATGTTCAGTTGAAATTTATAAAATCTTTCACTTTAAGAAAACCGGTTTCTCAAGTCCTGTAGCTGCTATCACTCTTTCTTGTATTGATGTGGGTTTCCTTCCTAACCTTTTGTTTGAAGTAGTGTAGAATGCTGACAATTCTTGATTATGCTGTTATTTTCTCTTTCAGTTACATATGCTATCCATTTTAGTTGCTGCCGTTGTTGAATGTCCTCAAGTGATGTGGTTTCTGTTATTTGCTATAGTTCTTTCTTTGTGATACTGTAACACCAGTTTGAAGAAGGATTGTTCTCATTAACGCTTACTTTCTCTCGAAACCATTTTTCTAAGGATTTTTATTTTTCAAAAGTAGATAAATCAGTGGATTTTCAATGTAAGCGTGCCGGTTTTTTGGGTATTGAAATTATCAATAGATACTATCGGAATTATTAATAATTCATGGACATCTTTCTTTTTGTGCATAGAGAAAGAAAGATCCAATAAATGTAAACAATTTCATGTTTCTAATTGGACTAAAAGCAGTGAAAGTACACTAGTATGCGTGTAAAAAAAAACCTTAAAATTTAGGAATTAGGAACTGTATTTATGATATATGCGTGTGTGAAAGGCCAGTCGCTAAGGAGAAATATATGCTGGGGGGGGGGAATACAGGAAGTGTCCTGTTTTTATTGCTGCTTATTAGCGCAACCTAAGGACGTCTTTGTGAAGCCAAGTGTGGGTAATCCACGTGACGAAAAGGTATGCGAGTCAAAAAAGTTTGCGGATCCTGTTCTAGTGGATTGGTTTGGTTTGTTTTACGGCATATCAACCTCAATGGGTTATTTAATGCCGACATTTTTTTTATTGCTGGTAATTTTTTTTTTTTCAAAAATGTATTGCTGATAAAAAATTTTCCTAAAAGTATTGCTGGTATTAAAACCTATTTTTATACTTTCATAGCGTTTCGACCCCTATTAGGGTGTTAACTATTTGTCCATAGGTGTGACCCTGACAGGTGCTACCATCTCGGGTCAGGGTGGACCTGGGAACACGAGTATTTAAGAGGTGGTTCCACTCTCTTCAAAACCTTCTGATCAGAGGCCTTGTTGTTGGATGTAGTTTATCGCCTTAACCAGGACGGTAGCTTTAGTGGAATCATTGCGAATAATCGAAAATAAATATCAGTATACACAGTTCTCAGTATTCAAAATAGTCTTCCTTGGACCATCTTTGTCAATGCCGGATCGTTACCGATCGAACTGTCGATAATTATTAGCAAGTAACCATCGAGAAAAATGGTCCTAAATAGGGCACAATTCAAAATTTGGCGGGTAAGGAAAATTAAAAAAAAATAAAGCTCTAAATAAAATTTATTTTTGGAGAGACAAAAATTCAAAAAATAATAATATATACATGCAACTTATGACTTTCAAAACCAAATGCGAGAGAACTGCTCCATATCTCGTATCAGACACGTACGAATATAACAATTATAATCTTCCCTCAAATATAAATGTCACGTGACGGTAAATATCATAGTATAACCATGCTTGTTCCTTCGTTAGTTAGCATGTCTGCCAATACCGCATAAACAATAAATTATTCCGTTTTGATCGCAAGGAAAGACGCAAAAGAAGTATCAGAGACGCTGTTTGCTTTCAGAGAGAGAGAGAGAGAGAGAGCAAGCGATAACGCATTCATATATTTAACGTCTTCTTCAGCGAAATCGATTGATGGATAATTTTTACGGCTTATCAACCTTTTGCAGGCTATTTAAAGCCAGAAAATATTTTTAAATTGTAAGAATCTTTTTTTAATATAATAATGGTTTAGTGATACAAGTCTTACTAATTAACCCATAGCTGGGAAGAGAAGAGGTGGATTCATAGCTTTCCTAAGGGTATTTGCGCCTAAGTGAATATAACTCAACGAGAATTGGAATTCGACTCTCCGATTAACAATTCCGAGTCATTATCCATTACTGTATTTGCTTAATACACCTGACATTTCAAATTCATAGGGTGTAGCATGTTTTGGGAGATAATAATGATTTATCTTTACAAGTCTTACTAATTAACCCATAGCTGGGGGAGCAGCGGTGTATTCATACCTTTCCCAAGGGTATTTGTGTGTAAGTGAATATAGCGAATCCAACTGGAATTGGAACACGGCTCTCCGATTAACAATTCCGAGCCATTATCCATTAAATCACTCGCACATCCAAGCTTACAGCACTTGATATTCCTAAGCGATCACCCGTCTAGGTACTGATCAGGCTTGATGTTGCTTAACTTCGGTGATCCGAATAGTGTAAATAGTTAAATAACCGGTATACATGAGTTCAATATATTATCTAAGATTTGAATATTGCATCCCTGAGATGATGATTACCACGAAGAGAACATACATGAACTCGCTCTCTCATTTCAAACACAGTGCGACTTAGAATATTAATAGGAATGTGTTGGACCCACACAGCTGTGGAACTAAAACAAAACACCGTAGAGAGATCAAAACCGTTGCAGTTGATATGCTAATCCGTATAGCCATGTTTGAAATGATAGGCATTTTTCCTTTTATATTCTCTTCGTATTGATATTTTAATCTCAGGGATGTAATTATAGAATCTTATATAATAAGTTGAATCTTGTTATATCAAATTATGTAATAAATATATTTGGTAAAATTCTGTGTTGGAACATTTATAATCCAAGATATTTGCATTTAAAATGTGCCCCACCACTGAGTTGGACAGAGGGGGAAATAACATTCTGACATGTTGAAAATGGTCTTTGGGCAAAAAAAGGTTGAGAATCCCTGCTTTAATAGATGAAAAAGGGACTTGAAGCGAGAGAGACGTGGTTCTACTAATGGAAGCCGTGGAGAGTCATAATCAACCACACCATGAAAAAACATAGCATATAAAAGTGAATGAATGGCTGAGCAAGGACAATCATGGATATTAAAGAATAAAAAATTAATGAGAGAAACAAAAACAGGAAGCTGTGGAGAGCCATGATCAACCACATCATGAAAAGACATAGCATATAAAAGTGAATGAATGACAGAGCAAGGACAAACGTGGATAGTAAAGATTCAAAAGTTAATGAGAGAAACAAAAACAGGAAGCTGTGGATAGCTATGATCAACCACGTCATTAAAAGACAGTATATAAAAGTAAATGAATGACAGAACAGGTACAAAGAGTTATTGTAAAGTGTTATAAGTTACTTAGAGCAACAAAAGACAGGAAGCTGTAGAGAGCCATAATCAACCACGTTGTAAAAAGTGAATGGATGACAGAACTGACCAATAAGGAGTTAAAAATTACTTAGAGCTGTGGAAGATGTGGAGAGTCATGATCGACCACTTCATGAAAGGACATGGCGTATAAAAGAAGTGAATGGATGACAGAACAGGGACCAAGAGGGATAGTAAAGAGTTAAACATTACTTAGAGCAACAAAAGACAGGAAGTTATGGAGAGTCATAATCAACTACATCATAAAAGGACGACAGAATAGAGGCCAAGAGGAATAGTAAAAAGTTAAACATTACTTAGAGCAACAAAAAGAGGAAGTTGTGGAGAGTCATAATCAACTACATCATAAAAGGACGACAGAACAGGGACCAAGAGGAATAGTAAAGAGTTAAACATTACTTAGAGCAACAAAAGACAGGAAGATGTAGAGAGCCATGACCACTTATGTTCTGAAGTCATATGGCATATAAAAGAAGAAAAAATGTATATATTTATTTAAAATAATAAAAAAAATAGAATAAAAACGACTAAATTCAATGTTTACTCACCGTTGTACATTTTCCTGTAAGGTTCCCATGTCAATATAAAACCAACCATGAACCAAACGTTTGTTAAATAAGGCACATTCGGTGTCATACTCATCATGCCTTCCATAAGGACAGTCCTGAAATATATATTATTATTAGTATATTATTGAATAAATGTGTATATACAGATGTTGCTCAGTTCTTTTTTGACATTTGCATGAATTTAGTAAAAAGACTAATCATGAAAAAAAATTTATTTGAGAAACAATTGGCATTAATAATTCTTGAAAGTCTTCTTGACATATCTACTTAATGAATCTGTCGTTAGTCTCGGTAACTGTTTCAATACAAGCTCTGAAATGATGACATCCCGAATAGGATTTATTGAACTATGCCTGTTATATTAATAACTAGCAGTAGAGCCCGGCGTTGCCCGGGGATGTAACAGTAAGAGATAGAACAAGTATCGACCATCATAAAGACTGAAAAATAAAATTGACAAAGATTATTGTTTAAAGGTTGACGGACACGCATGTCTTAATTAGTTTTTTTTTTTTTTTTACGAATTGGTCAAACCCAAATTCAAACAAAAACATTGTTTACAATCGTTATGAGTCTATCGATTGGTGAATAGAATTTTATTATAAACAATTGTCTTGTAAATGGAATCTTTAAAGCATTCTGAATGTAAATAAAGAAAAAAGTTTGCAAGACAATAAGAAATACTACCTGCCAAAAAAAAAAAGTGGATGTTTGTTTTATCGGCTGAAAAATGTAAGAAATCCGATCCCATATATAAAGGAACACACACACACACACACACACACACACACACACACACACAACCTGGGTTTTTTAACCTGTCACTCCACGGAATCGCTAAAACATAGAGCATAGTCTGATGAAAAAGACGCCAAAGTTTATGAAAACAAAATTTTATCGTCAAAATGCTTATGTTTTTATGAAGAGGATAGACTAAATTTTTTTTTAATTATTTTTAAAAATTTTTCCATCTTTTTAGAATATTCTAAATTTTGATTTAAAAAACCTTGTTTCTCTTTGTCGCAACAAGGGGTAGTAAATAACATAGATAATTTTTAGCGCGTTTTTTTTTTGTATTTACACACATTAATTTGGAAAATCTTGCAAAAATAAAAATAATTGTCAGATGTTAATGAAACTTTCAGAAACTATTCACAGATGATCGAAATTATTATAAATATTTTTTTTTTTTATTAAAGTCATGGCAGAAATATTTTTTTTATATTTATTAACACCCCCATAACTAATTTTATGAAAAACTCTAGAAATTCGAGACCATCGGTTTTAGTGATTACAATAGTTAAAAGCACAAGGCTTTGAAGAATGCAAATCATGTTTTTTTTTTTTTTTTTTTTTTTTTTTTGGCCAACGTACCTGAAAATCAGCTGTGAATTGTAACATACAAAACTCAATAAAACAAATATATTATTTAGTTTCAAATGCTTTTATTTGTTTTAATTTGTTTTTATGAATATGGACAATATTTTCTGAAAGCAAAAAATTTTTCAATGAAAATTGAATTTTTTAATACAATTATTTCTTATTTCTTTAATTTTAAAAAGATTTTTAAAAAATGTTTAAATTGAATTTTAAAAAATATTTTAACATTAGTTAAAAGCAACATCAACCTTTCAAAATGTCCGTGTGAGATTGTCATTGTCTAGCGCTTTGAAAATTGTATAATTTGGACCAATCAGATTAGCCATGGTAATTAAGAAATGTAATTTTTGTGTTTATAGTCGGACAGTAATTATCAAGTACGGAAGACCAACCAGAATACAATTTAGTTGCATTATTTGAGTTCAGCATTGTTCTCCGCTGTTAAGCCCTTTACTTTTTGCGAAACACGTATGGAGAAGTTAATTTGAGTTTTCAATTTCAACTGAGAAGGGTACCTACAAGTAACAGTATCATCTTATGAAATTTAACTACTGCTAAACTTTAATTTATATGATCTTATTTTTTATATTAATCTCAGTTATGACATTTTTTCCATAAATGAAATATCAAAATTAATAATAAAATGAATGGAAATACAAATAACACAGTAAAATGTAATAAATGTACATAAAATTATAGTATTTTATGTACACTTCTGATAAAATTTCATAAGAAAGGTACCTAAATTAATTAGATACCTTTTTTTTTATGAAATTTAATCTCACTATTAACAGTCTTATTTTTTAATTTCTTTATATTTTCCATAAAGCATCGTAAACGTAAAAATGAAAGCTAAGTACAAAAAAAAAAAAAAAAAAAAAAAAAAAAATAAAAATTAGAGCGCTGAAAGTTTTCCTTAAAAGTAACAAGGTAAATAATTTGTTCACTTAAATAATTTCACTTCCTTCCATCCGTAGAAAGAATTCTCCTCCGTAAGTTATCTAAACGTCATGAATGTGCCTTTCGTCAATCGTCAAGCGACGCGAAAGGTTATGACCTGCTTTGTTTTATTTTCAAATTACATTTTTTCGGCGCAGAAGCTAAGTTAAGCTTGGTTCAAAATATTTTAAATAAACAGTATAATTTCTGTTTTTATTAAAATCAGTTTTGAAAAAATGATAATTGATTTTTAAAAAGAATATCAAAGTGATTTTAATCTTTTTTTTATCAAATCGAAAAAATGATTGAAAATGATTATCTGTCCTTTTTTTTGACCAAAAAAAAAAAATATTTTTTTAACGAAAATTTCAGACGTGCTAGGAACGATTAAAAAATGTAAAAAAATACCCCAAAATACTTTGATCTTTCCTCTTTAATAATAATATGAACATTAGACGATAAAATTTTGTTTTCGTCAAGTTCGGCGTCTTTTTCCTCATGCTATGCTCTTTTGTTTACATTTTCGTGGGTCAGTTGTCCCCCTTTCATTCTCACGATGTGTCTTAATCGTGTTTTCAAATTGATTTTATTAAAAAAAAAAAAACTGTATTTTTCCCATTTTCGGCCCCGTTAGAACCACCACAAGGTAATTTTATGTAGTCCTGTGAAGTTTTGTTGAAATCGGTTAAAAATGTAGGAAATTCGATCCAACATATAAACGTTACAGACACACACACACAATCTGCGTTTTATAATAAGTAAGATTAGTTATGAATTAGTATAAAAATAACTGTTCATATATTCAAGTTTAAAAATCCAACAATCCATGTAAATATATCTCTACTAACAAGAGAAAGAATGAAGATTTTCAAAAATACTGGTTGTCCCATAACGATGGAACACATTTTAAAATCCGACAAGTATCTTGATAGGACACATTTAAGTTTTTTAATCCTGGACATTGTATAGTTATGTGGAAATCAGATATTTTATAGTGTTATGGAGAGGTTGAAAAAAACTCCCCCACTTGACTATATTTCACGTAATAGTCTAACGGATTGAAGTCTAGGAGCTAGGAGGCCATCTGTTTGGATTGAAATGATCGTGAAGATCTTAACGAGCAAAATCCTGGGTCGTCCTGGCCTTATGTCTTGTTGGTAGACGACGTTTCATCTCTTTTATAAGATCCGGGTTGCTCCGTTCTTTGAAGACACTTGCAAAAAGTAAAAGACGGCACAAGTCATGTAAGAAGATCTTTATTTAAAAAAAAAAAAGGCATGAATAATCTTCTTGGCTCATCTAGTTGATAAACCCGTTGGGGTAGACTTTTTTAGTTCCACTTGCCATGTCTAATGGATGTCAGTTATCAGTTATCTCCTGTTAAATCACCTCTCCAAGATGGCTTAACCAGGTTACTGAACTCTTTGGGTCCTGTCACTGGATCTAACCAACGCCTTTATCCACTGTGCCATGTGCCCTTAAGGACATATGTGCATGAATTTCTGGGACTTATAAACTTAATGTCTTCAGCAACCATTTTTTACCAGTGCTCATATTGCAATTTTTGTTGTGGAACTACAACAGTCTACCCCTATATAGCGAAATAAAGGGTTCAGTTCGACATTCCAATCACCTGAAGAAGGCCGGATTTAACATTTTGTTTAATGCTGAAACGTTGTGATAAATATGGCAACAAAGATGAGGACAATAGACCGAATAATGTAAATAATGTTATTCTCAAATTTGTATCCTCCAATGCCTAAATATTAGTTGTATGTATCTGAGACTTGATTCGAGGAGGATTCATATTAGTTGCTACTACCAGTGTCTGTAAGGATTATATTCGTTTATATTTGAATCTCTGAGCATTTACTTCGTTCGGGTATAGTTAAATATAGGTTGTTTAAATTTGAGTTTATAATTTCAGTCCATAATTGTTTAAATTTGGATCTATAATCACTGACTTGGTTTGTATATAGGTAAATATTGGTCGTTTATATTTGAAGCAATAAGGATTTACTTGTTTTGGGGAGAAGTAAACATTAGTTGTTTAAATCTGAGTCTATAATAGTTTAAATTTCGGTCTATAAGCATTGGCTTGTTTCGAAGATAGGCAAATGTTGAAAGTTTACATTTGTGTGTACAAGCATTGGCTTAGTTGGAGGATAGATAAATATTGGTCGTTTATATTTAAGTCAATAAAAATTTACTGGGTTGCTGGCCCCTACTTTTGTCGCCTTATTCCTCCGCAGGGGATGCAGTTGATATGTTCTAGACTCTGTCGATAGGACAATTTGATAGTTAAGGATATATTTTGCTGAGGTGACAGGGAACAGAGGTCCGGGGATTGAATAATATACAGGGTGTTCCAGAAGTCTTGGGAACATTTCAAGTCCTCATATCTGCTGAACTATGAATGGTAGTAAGATGAAACTGGTACCATTTTAAAGCTAAATTTATTAAGTCTTTTGTAATACTAACGATTTTTTTTTCATATTTTTTCAAATCCAGTAATGGCATTCACTCAGCCAGAAAAGGCGTTTTGCGTCCTTGAATTTGCAAAAACTGAATCATGGACACTTGTTCAACGTGCAGGTCTCCCGATCTCACACCCTGCGATTTCTTTTTGTTGGGGTTTGTTAAAACGATATATCTATATTTTTCATAATCCAAAAAAACGTGGATGAACTGAAGGCCCGAATAACGGAAGCTATTGCAACAATCGACAACGGAATGCCGGAACGCGTTTGGCATGAATTGGACTATTGGCTTGATGTGTGCCATGTGACCAACGCTGTTCACGTTGAACATCTTTGAACATTCCATGTAAAACTTGAAATTAAATTCTTTCAGAATATGTCAGGTGCATTTTTATGTCCTTAATAGTTTTCAAGATATTCAATGTCAATATGGTCCCAAGACTTTTGGAACATCTTGTATTGTAGGAATAGTCCTTTAACGTGAGTTTCGATTTGAGCTAAAAACAACAAAAAAACCCCCAAAAAACAGGAAATTATGGATACCCATGATCCTCCCACGTTCTGATGGGACACGACACACAAAAGAATATATGAATCCAACCAGACGATTATCTTCATGCTGTTGCCGTTTATTTTGATACTTTCTGGACTATAAGCATAGCGAAATATGACTTCCGGAAACTAAGTAAACTATTAAGAAACATAAAAAACAAGAAAGAAATAAAAATAAAAAAAAATTACAGAACAAAATGCGATATTTAATCTCCAAAAATAAAAAAAAATGCTCAACATTATTCGTCAAGAAGACATGGTTTGCTGGATAGATATTTTCTGAATTTAAAAATTGTTTAGGGAGTATTAAAAAATATTCTGTTAATGTTCATAAAGAGACCGTTCAAATATTTGGGTTACAATGAGGATAGAACGTTTTAAATTTAACACTCAAAAAATGACTGAAAAGCAAAAGAATAGAAATGCATAAAAACTTTGCTAACATTTGAGGAAACAAAAACAGAAAAATGTACCACAAATATAAATATTGGTTGGTCTTGTTTAGAGGCATATCAACACCTCTATGGGTTATTTTATTCCAAATATTTTGTACGCAAGATTATTTTATTTTTTTGGAGATAGTGATACATAGCTTGGGGGCTAATTTATTTCAAAAAATGTCTTCAATATTTTATTTAAGGTATTTGCGCGTGAGTGAATATAACTGCAATTGGAACTCGGCTCTGCGATTACCAAAGCCGAACATCATCCGTTACATCATCCGTACTTTTCCCCAAGTGTATTTGCGTGGGAGTGAATATAACAAACCCAAAGGGAATTGTATCTCGGTTTTCCAATTAACATTTCAGGGTCATTCTCCATTAGGGCACTCATATATCCAAGCTTACGGTACCTGTTATTCCCAAGCGGTCACCCATCTTGGCTACGGTGATCACAAAGTGAACTGGTGTTTCAACGTGTGTTGAGAATATAATGGACGGATTATGTGTGCAACAAATAGGTATTTGGCAAAATAGTAACAAAAATGAAAATTGTACCTAGAATCAAGAAGAGATAGTCGAAACGTTTGGGACACATAAGGAAGAAAGAGGACTGGGAAACATTTACATTATTCGGACTATTGTCCTCATCTTTGTCACCATATTTATTACAACGTTACGGCCGTTGTACACTTCGGCGACAAAGATGAGAACAATAGTCCGAATAATGTAAATAATGTACATAATACCTCATCTCAGAAACATAAAAAGATACTGAAAGGATAAACAAGTTGTAATAAATATGGTGACAAAGATGAGGACAATAGTCCGAATAATGTAAATAATGTACATAATACCTCATCTCAGAAACATAAAAAAACATACTGAAAAGCCGAAACGTTGTAATAAATATGGTGACAAAGATGAGGACAATAGTCCGAATAATGTAAATAATGTACATAATAAAGGTCATCTCAGAAACATAGAAAAGATACTGAAAAACAACCGAAACGTTGTAATAAATATGGCGAAAAAGATGAGGACAATAGTCCGAATAATGTAAATAATGTACATAATACCTTATCTCAGAAATATAGACAGATACTGAGGGCTAGGAAAATTTGACACTCACAGGACATATTGAAGCTAACCGGAGAAGAGCGACACAACCACTAACCTTCTTAACGAACTTAATGTAAATGGATGGCAGAACAGGGACCGGGGGAGTTGGTGCAAAGTTAAACCTTGCTAAAAGCTACAAAGAAAGCTGGCGAGAGCCATGATCGCCCACGCCCGGTAGGGATACGGCACATAAAAGAATATATATATGAATGACAAGCTTGAATTTTACAAGTATTTGTGATTCTTACCTGGTCGTTACACAGCATGCTAACGTTTGCCACGCCTTCACATTGCTTCCCTCCATATTGGGGACTGAAAAATAAATCACTTTCAAGTTTTAAATATTTAAGAACAAATTACAACAAAATTTGATTTATCGTCAGGTAAATATTTTAAGAGGATGAAAAAGTGATTGCTGAGCTGCGAGATTGTTTTTATTTCTCTTTATCGAGATACCTTCTTGCTTCCATATTGTGAGCCCAGGTAAAATATATCATCTTAAATGCTGGTTTTCATAGCAAAGCGACAACTCTCATCTGGAAGACTGGATATGTGCAGTAGACCTAGCAATGAATTCAATATAATCTTTCCACTTCACGTCAGCCGAGAAAGTTAGCCCAAGAAGATGCAATGGGTCACTCACCTGGAGGTTAGCATCAGCCATGCTGATGGAAAACAGAAAGGTTCTCTCAGGTGATTAATATAGAACAGTTTCGTTTTGAAGGCGTTAATATTAACATACCATTTACAACAGACTGTAGCTCATTTTTTAAAATGAGATGCTAATTACTATGCCACAAAAAGAATAAAGCAAAAATATTTATCGGTGTCACAGACAGGAAACAAATTTCATTGATCTGAAAAGAAACTACATACTCTCAAGACAACAATAAATGGTTATGTCATATTTAATAGTTTTAATTTTAAATTCATATTTTCATTTATTTATAATTTTTAAAATTTTTTTAAAAACTTTTATGTTTGCTTTTTATGTAAATATTTTTATGAGAATTTTTTCTCATTTGTACAAGAGTTAATATGTTAAATTTAGGTCTTTGTTCATCTTCAACTGTCTTTCTTCTGTCTAGACTTGTTCCGGTTTAGCACCCTAGTTTATTTGTCTACCTCTATAAACCCCATTTCCCTTATATGTTATTTGTTCCTCTTCTTTCTTATTTTCCTCCTCCTTTTTTGTTTCCTTCCTTAATTTTTATTTTTCAAATTTCTTAAAAAAACAAAAACAAAAAGAAAAAAACATGACAAAATGTTAGAATTCATTTCTTTAACAAATGCATTTGCATTGACAAATCCCAGGGAGAATCTCCCGGGGACGGAATGCCCATCTGAATGGGGGGAATTTCGGTTTCATTTTTGTAATCCACTTATATACTCTATAATAAATATACTAAGGTCTGTTTTTGTGGATCAGTTTTAATATTGTATTTTATATTAATATGATATATATATATATATATATATATATATATATATATATATATATATATATATATGATAATTGAAAATATTCATGAAAGTAGATTTGTTTAGAAATATATTCGAAAATGCCTTTCACCATTTAAGGTCTCATCAGATCTGAAAGCGAAAGAATGAAATGCTTGTGTTTTAACGAATTAAATCTTAATACTTTTTCACTAAGATGGCGTGTCTCATGACTAAAGAAAGAAAGAAAAATGAGTGACTTTTAAAAAAGTCGCTAACATTCATTTTATTTACTTTCAGTTCGAGTCGAAAGAATGGGTAGAAAAGAAAGTTTTTTTTTTATCCATGTGGAAACCTTCATGAATGTAAATTTGTTTAGAAATATATCCGATAATGCATTTCACCATTTAATATCGGATATATATTTAAACAAATCTACTTGCATGAACGTTTGCAATTGTCAAAAAATTAAAAAGACACACACATATATTAACTAATAATAATTTATATCATTTAAATTCATATGTTTGAAATTATTTGATTTTAAATTTGGATTCAAAAGTAAACAAAATATCAAGGGAGGTAACTCTCATTTTTTGACAAAAATATAGTAATATCAAATAAAATACTCAGGATTGAAATATAAGGGTATAAATATTAAAAAAGATTAATAGGTTGGAGCTATCTAATGAATGTGTTTGGAACCAAATCTTATACTTATACGGTGAAATTATATAATTATATATTTATATTAAGAAATGGACAAAGTCCGACAATTTATTTATTAAAGACATTTTTATGTTTAACGTTCTTTTTATAGATACAAGTATTTAAGTAAATGCTCTGTTTATAATAAACAGTATTAAATAACATTTACCGGCCTGAATGTCCGAGAAATTTTCATAGAAAATATTCGTTCTTTGACAGGATTCGAACCTGCATCCTATACGGAACCGTCATTTACGATGACGTGCCTTACCGATCGGCCACAAAGAAGCGTTCGGTAGACAAGGTCGAATTTACTGCTTCTTTGTGGCCGATCGGTAAGGCACGTCATCGTAAATGACGGTTCCGTATAGGATGCAGGTTCGAATCCTGTCAAAGAACGAATATTTTCTATGAAAATTTCTCGGACATTCAGGCCGGTAAATGTTATTTAATACTGTTTATTATAAACAGAGCATTTACTTAAATACTTGTATCTATAAAAAGAACGTTAAACATAAAAATGTCTTTAATAAATAAATTATATATTTATAAATAAAACTAATACAGTAATATTAGATTACATGTGTGTATAGATATACATGTTATTAATGATGAGTTCTAAGAATATTAAAAGTTGTTGCATATTAACAATATTTGTGTTTGCAATATGTTTTAATCAGGGTAGATGTGTTTTAGCAGATGGATGTGTATGTGTGTGCATGTGTTCGATGAATGAAGGTGTTACAACAATTCAGCTTCTAGAACAGCTTGATTATAAATCATTTGATTATGGTCAAGGCTTGTATACAGCCAACTACATTTATCGAAGAACTGAATTATAACTGGTGCACGTAGTGTCCTACGCAGTCCCTAATTCAGGTTTTAAATGCCTTCTCCTAGACAGACTACCAACCAATGCTGAAGAACCCGGTCTACCCTACTATTAACAAATAGCTAGGGTGTGGGTTGATTGAGAAGAGATGAAATCATAAGCGCAAGTGAATGTAACAAGCTTGACTGGTATTTGAACCCGGCTCTCTGATTTCTTATTCAGGCTCTTTCTATTAACTGTTTCGAGATTCATTTTCTCTGTGTGAGGCTCTCTATTGATATGTATCTTTCTCCCTACCGAGCCTTGTCCAGGATATGACGATAAACTACATCTGGTAGCAAGACCTTTGATTGGGAGATTTTGAGGAGCGTGGATCCACCTCTTAATTGCTGTTGTTCCTAGGTCTATCCTCTCCCGGGGTGGTAGCACCTGCTAGGGTTCCAACTATGGGTAAATCGTAAACCCCTAAACTGGGGTCAAAATGTCATTGTGAAAGTATAAAAATGCATTTTTGTTGTAAGAATACCAGCAATACATTTTCATAGTAATAAAATACCAGCAATACATTTTTATAGTAATAAAAATACCAGCAATACATTTTTATAGTAATAAAAATACCAGCAATACATTATTGGACAAGAAAGAGAAAAATTTACTGCAATATATTTTTGAAAAAAAATTACCAAAGCACCCAAGAAAATTAAATTTCAGCATTAAATGACCCATAAGGAGTTGATATGCCGTTAAACAAACAAAACCAAACAAAATCCCATTGATTCTGGGCTTCTTTGTTCATAATGAGCTAATTAACTCAGGTCAGTAATGAAAAATCCACAGCTGATTAGGATACACGTTGTAGACCAAAATTAGTGAACCTACGTTAGATTTTAAAAGTACTGGATTGACTGGTGACTCAAAGAAATTGTTATAGGGAACATTCACTTCACCAGAGTATCACGTTAGATTTTACGAGTACAGAGCCATCTGCTGGCTCATAGAAACTTTTGACGGGAACACTGACTTCATCAAGGAGTATTATGTAAGGCCTTACCAGAGTATCACGTTAGATTTTACAACTACAGGATCATCTGCTGGAAGAAATTGCTGAAGGGAACAGTCAAAGTCATACAACGGTGTATTGCGTAAGATTTTGCAAGCAACTCTCAGTTTCTAGGTGCAAAATGTAATTACTTACAAAGGCTTGTTGCATTCTCTTTCTCTGTTGGTCACTCCACCGCCGCATGACCGGGAACAAGTGCTCCATTCACTCCAGCTTGACCACTGCCCGTCAATTGGCTTCGGACCAGATTTTCCAAACTTTACACATCTCCCGCCTCGACACCACTGCGAGGAAAAAAATATTGAAATTTAGTAACATTTTTAAAATTAATAAAATACCACAAAAAAGATAGAGTAAAAAATGTATGGTAAATTTGCAGATTAAGCCCCGGAAAAGAATTGTAATAAAAATTTCCATTCTGGTGTGAAATTACCTGATTAATTCCAAAATAACAATAAAAGTTTGGGGAAGAAAATCATTTAAGAGTTATCGACAATATAAATTCGGCTTTATTCGCGTCTGGCCCGGCTACCATTACTGGCGTTGTTTACATACATTTGCCATGAATAGTAATGCGCGGAAATTTACCTAAAGGCCTTTTTACTGCACTTCTTATATTCCTACTCGTCTTGATTACTGCGCAATCCGCAAAATTTAATTTAAAGTTCGCGCATTGCGCAGTAATCAAGACAAGTGAAGCTCCCCCGCATTACTACTCGAGGCAAACGTATGTAAACAAAGCCTGTAATGCCGGCCGGGCTGTAACCGCAACGCGAATGAGGCCAAACTTATATTGTCGATAACTCCTAAACGGTTTTCTTCCGCAAACCTTTATTGTTATTTTCGAAATAAGCATGTAAATTTACACCAGAATGGATATTTTCATTACAATTGGTTTCCGGGGTTTAATCTGCAAATTTACCAAAAGTATTAGTTTTACTGACAGGACACACATTTCAATGTTTTGAAAAGAGACTTCAGCTATTGTGCAAATTTCAGACATGGACATTTTATATGCAAATCAGAAATGTACATTTGTTTATCGTTGTTTCTCCCTAAAGTTTTTTTTCAATTTCATTCACCAAGGAATGGTTTAGCTTTATTTTATAGTTGTTCGGATGAGGTGTCTTTATTTCTCTTTGAAACTACTTCACAAAACTCCTCACGGCAAAGACTCACCGTGCCACTTACATTGTAGCAAACAACCATATCCCATCGGTGGGAAGTAAGTTCCATTCGAACAGCTTTTTCCTGCTAACCATTGTCCTGTGGAACCGATTCCCAAGAAGATGTTTCTTGATTACTACAATCTTAACCTGTTCAAGTTTTGGGTTAAACATTACCTTCCTTTCCTATTCGTACAAACTGCCTCTTAACGTAACTCTCTACCACGAGTGGCCCCCGGGCCTTGTACAGGGTAAATCTTGCTGTAAAATAATTCACCAACAATCTTAAGGTGAGGGAAGTATAGTATTAGCATTCATAACTTTTAGGCAGATTGAACACGCGACTTTGCCTCAGATTAGTTTAGGGAAATACTTGTAAGAGTTTCAACTGTATTTAATAAGAGTTAATAAGGATAATTCCAACAGAAAAACCATGTCCGGCTTAGATGAAGTAATGTGTTGCCTTCAGTCAGCAATTGTCCGAGAAGAAAGCATTTTGCTTTCAATATGATTACTTGCAATTTGCTAGTATAGAAATCAGTTTGGAGGCGCAAAAGTCTATAGCCCAATATATGCCTCATCAAGAACAAAATGCCAAACAAAATATTTGGCAAAAAGTGCGTGGCACAAATTAGTATTCTTAGTAACAACAACAGCCCAAACACAAAATGATTTTGTAATCTTTAAAGAAAACAGTTTAATTTCTTAGAACTCAAAAGACAATATGAGTTGGGAAATATTTTTGCCTGCTCATTGCTTATTCGACTATATATATGTAGAGTAATATCCGAACAAAAATGAAGATAATTAAGTTGAAAAGCATTTCAGCTACGCATTTCGACCCTATATAGTAGGTGACTTTACCATGGGGACGTCTACTATAAGGGGGGGGGGCAAACTGTGTAGTTGAAGAGCTTTTATATTTGGTCACACAAACACACATATATATATATATATATATATATATATATATATATATATATATATATATATATATGTATATATATGATGACTTACATGGTGGATGATGAAAATAGGTAAAAATGGTCAAGCTAAGTCCGGTTGGCACCAGAGGCAAAAATGTCGACATAGGTCCGGTTTACAGTTTTTATTTCCAAATCTGCAACTATCCTTCCAAATGGTGGCCTCTTTTGAGGAGATGCAGTTGGCGTATTCTAAGCCCCGTCAACAACGCATATTATATATATATATATATATATATATATAAAATGAAAAATCCAAATTTGAGATTTTGATTTCTTTTATTCCGATGTCTTATCTAAACAATGTTTTATGACATCTACAACATTTTTTTCACTTACCCATGTCTAGTTATGGTGAGAAAATATTTTTCTGGTGTCAATCGGGTCTTGCTTGGCTTCAAGTTGAAGTTTGAGCGTCATTTCACCGATCCAATGTACGATGCCGATTCTGATGATATTGAGATGTAGTAACACTCCTACAAGTGCACAGGGTGCGTCAGCTTTACACATGCTGCGAGTAGGTTCAGTGTGGTGAAATAGTCACACATGCTTCTTTTGTTCAATTAAAGGAATGGCATTTCAGAGAACTGTTGCGCATATTGGAGTTTTTGATTTTACTTAATGAACATCCAATACAAGGCTTAAGAGGTACTCAAGGTAGAAGGTTATTGAATGAGGTGTGTGATATAAACACAAGACGAAGTAGAAAGAAGTGAAGATTATGAGGATGGAGAGGCTAGATGGTAATTGATCCTTGCCTTCAAGAGGTTAAGAAAAGTAAATGAAACTTCCTTCCTACGAAAGGAATAGGAAGGTATTAATGATGATTCAACCCTGAATATGTGATGTTTCAATGGTGATTCGATGCTTGCAATAGTACTAGACCAACTTCTGTACGGCCATCTCGTAAAAATGCAAGTTAAGACCGACTCATTCTCATGATAGCAGTGGCAGATCGCACAGTATCTGCAACACAGGTCAAAGCGAGAGCGATGCGGCTCTAGGAATGTCAATAATAACTGCTGGAAACCATTGCCTAAAGCAAGGATATAGACGCTCAAGTTTCTAGCCAGACTACCACTTATACTAAAGTACTTTTGAACACGTTTCCAGTTAATGGTGTTGTGTAGTGTTCAGTAATAAGAGAAGAATCTGGTTCATGCAAGTGATGCTAGTCTCATTAGCTATGTATTCATCCACGACACAGGTGTTGGGTGCTATAAGACTGAAGTCTCGCTCATCTTTGGTGTTTGTAAAGGGAACGTTGAATATACGTTCAGAATATTGTTCAACCTGCTTTTCTCCCATTCCTGCAGTAGGAAGGCAATGAGTTGTTTAGCAGAATAATGCCTGCCTGAAAATGTTCTGCAAGATGTTCAACAACTTTCATAGCCGGCAAAATCGATAAACTTCTCCCCCTTTAAACATATATATTGCATGATGGTACGACACCTAGGCCATTCAGTAATAGTTGCCGGTGTATTGATATTGCACTTGAATCAAATCGATACATATAAGTCCGGTTCTAGTATAATTTGTATACCTTTCGGATTTTATTTTGTTAAGCAAACGTGCAATTTTGCCACCTATCGCTAATAAATAATTGAGATTGATAGTTGTCGGAGAGGAATATGCAGGTGCCTACCTACCATACCAGACCCACAAGAAGTGCCTTCGGCTGCTGGAAGGAACTTTGTCTCGCATCTGTCGCTGCCTCGGTAACACCACAAAGATTTGCAGGAATCCTGTAAAAATAAATAAAACAGAACAACCAATAATTGCCTGAAATTCTGTAATAAAACATTTTTTATTTTATCAATTGCCGGCTATTATTCTCATTTTGGTCTTTTCAATTATTGCAGTTCAGCCGATATTGTTCTTCCTAATATTTCTTATAGTTTTGAGACAAAGGACTGTAATTGTTCGGCAGTTTTGTAGGTAGTCTCTAAATTCTGAGATGAAAAATAGTCATCATTTGTTAAATTATTTAAACTAGGAGCTTCGTTTCAGTTTATGGTTTCCTATATTTCGACCGGTATATTCTCCAGTCTGATTTTTATTGACTGAAAATTCTAAGATGAAAAATAATTTTCTTAAATTATTCAAATTAGGATCTGAATTTCTGTTTTATTGTTTTCTATATTTCGGCCGGTATATTTTGCAGCCTTACTTGTATTGTCCAAAAGATATAAGATGAAAAATAATTTTTCTTAAATTATTCAAGTTCCGAGATGAAAAATTGTTATCATTTGTTAAGTTATTTAAACTAAGATTTTCATTACTGTTTTCTACATTTCGGCCGGTATACTCACCAGCCTTCCTGGTATTGTTTTTAGTTATAAGATGAAAAATAGTCATCATTTTTTTAAATTATTAAGACTCGGAAGATCGTTTTTGTTTCCTTATTTCCTATATTTCGACCGTTATATTCTCCAGCCTTCCTGTTAAAGTTCTTAGATGAAGAATAAAGTAGAGTCCTTTTTAATTTTTTAATATTTTTTTTAGTTAGGGCATTTTCACTATTATCATTTTTATTACTACTTTTACACATATAACTGTTGCATTTTGTCACAATAATCTGGTTTGCGAGCCTAAATCCTTATTACTCGTCTTCATATTGGTCAGCACCGTATCAGCACCAGACAACGTGTTTTTGCTTCGTCACATAATTGTACAACATTTTATTCAAATCAACCAACATTTTTTTTATCATGCCATGTCGGTGAATATATTATAATATCAGGAGATAAAGAAAGATATTAGAAACAAAATTAAACAGTAAATATTTAATTAAAATAGGGTGAATTTACTGGTAGTATCAACTAGTAAGGTACTAAGAACCAAAATTCCATAGACAAAAGGAACAGGGTGGTCAGCGATGATGTCCAGGGTTTTCAATCCCAGATATGATGTCGGCACTAAAAGAAAAATAGGATGAATTTCCAGAGTCGAGAAATGTTCAAACGTTTGAAATGGGAAAGTGTCAAAAAACTGCTGTTCATAAAAGTGTGGTAAGTAAGAAAAGAACAAAAAAAAAAAAAAAATATGAAGGGAAAAGTGAGAAATTCAACAATGAAATAAAAATGAGCTGGCACGGTGCAATGACTGTCTACAGAGAATTTAAATGAGAGAACCTATCGCAAGCGAGCATTTATGGATATGGTTACGCAGAGGACATCTGAAAAAAGAAACAGAGTTTGTCATTGTAGACCGGATCGAATTCGTTAAGTCTAATTATGTCAAGGTAAAATTAGGTACAACTCCGGAAAGCATTAGAAGGGGAACTGGGGGAGCTGGTTAAAAAAAAATGGTAATAGACACAAAAGGAGAGGGTCTTCGAAGCACTTTCAATCATAGAAAAGATTTGATTTGTGCAAGCGATCAAATATTATCAGTATGAATCGAAGGCCTTTTTTTTTATAAATTAAAAGGAGCAAAATAATCGAAAACTTTGAGACACAGGCTTCCCACTCAAGATGGTCGGACCTAAAAGTTATAAAGAAGGAAAAGAAAGATCATAAACGGACCATAGGAGTGAGAGAGAGAGAGAGAGAGAGAGAGAGAGAGAGAGAGTGAGTGAGAGAGAGAGAGAGTGAGAGTGAGAGAGAGAGAGAGTGAGAGAGTGAGAGTGAGTGAGAGAGATCGAGAGTGAGTGAGAGAAAAAACATATACCGCATATTGAAAATGAGAAAGCTACCGAATATGGAGACGAATGTCGTGCTCACTACAGGTTGGAGACACCCGTGCTCACTACAGGTTGGAGACGAATCTCGTGCTCACTACAGGTTGGAGACGAATCTCGTGCTCACTACAGGTTGGAGACGAATCTCGTGCTCACTACAGGTTGGAGACGAATCTCGTGCTCACTACAGGTTGGAGACGAATCTCGTGAATCTCGTGCTCACTACAGGTTGGAGACGAATCTCGTGCTCACTACAGGTTGGAGACGAATCTCGTGCTCACTACAGGTTGGAGACGAATCTCGTGCTCACTACAGGTTGGAGACGAATCTCGTGCTCACTACAGGTTGGAGACGAATCTCGTGCTCACTACAGGTTGGAGCCGTAACAGAATGGAGCTGAGATTTAATGAATAAGGGATTCAAGACTGAAACTGTCCAGACTACAACATTTATGAGGTCTACGATAATACTGAGAGATTTGCTATAGCAATTATGAAGACTTGTTGCCACTTAATCTCCAGCGATAACCATTGGAAATCTATTGTGAATATGCAAATATATGAACTTACTTTAATGATACCTGATACTAAGAAAGGTGCTGGAGATTTGCTGTCACTTAATCTCCAGCAATAACTAACTAATACATGGTTTCAATATGCAAATATTTGAACTTATTTTAATGATATCTGATACTAAGGAAGGTGCTGGAGTACAAAAAATTTAGACGGAAAGAAAAGTACTATTTTTTTAAAATCATATCGAAAAATGTAAGCGTGAAGGAATTTGGAAATACAAGTGGAAATGAAATAATGGAGAGATGGAGGGAAAAGACGAAACCGTGGAGGAAAGAAAAATTAATGAGAAGTAGACAGCAAAATATTAGATGAATCCTGGACCCATAAAATTAAAAAAAAAGAAAAAAGAAAAGAAACTAAATACATTCCAAACAATTCAAGCTAAAATTAATAGCATGGTGTCATATTCTTTTTTTTTCACGCATGTGCATTCTGGTGACACTTATGTAAGCCACATTGACACCTAATCAGAGGTAGCTATTTGGCACGATATCCTGGCATTAATCCTTGAATTTGTCTGCATAGATAACTCTTATTTTATGTGCCGTATCCCTTAACGAGATAGGTGATCATGGCTCTCCACAACTTCCTATCCTTTGTAACTGTCCTCTTACTATTTTTCCGAGTCCCTTTGTTAGATTGGTTACTGGGTGGATTGCGAGGTGGATTTATACCCCAATTAATAATTCCGAGTCATGGGGATGGATCGGTCACACACTCCGCAAGCCTGCTTCTAGTGTCTCCAGCTAGGCTCTTGATGGAATCCCCTAGGGAAAAGAAAAGTGGGTTGACGAAAACAGACTTGGCGCAGAAGTGAAGACACACACGGGCCGAGCTGAAGAGGATCGCCCGGAACTGCGTCCGTTAGAGAGGTGTTGTCGCGACCCTATGTTCCCCAAGGAGTCAAGAGGAATGAGATACAGGGTGTTTCAGGAGCACTTAGACATGGTGTAATGGTTAGAAAGCTTGTCTTGCTGAAACAATTAGGACTGAGTGGTGAGTTCGATCCTCACTCGATACTCCATATTTTCGGCGATATGCCACATCTAAACTGAGCTTAGAAAATCTTTAGAGCACTTCGACGTGCTGTAATGGTTAGCAGGCTTGTCTCGCTATATCCATTACTACTGAGTAGTGAGTTCGTACCTCACTAGGTGCTCAATGTTTTCAAACTTGTGTTACATCGAAGCTTCGCTTATAAAATTACTCTACAGGGTGTTTTAAAAGTTTGTGTCACATTATGACACTGTATATCTTGATAACTATTGAGGAAATAAAAGCAATTTATATTTCCTAAAAGCTAATATTTCCACGTTTCTGTACAGGTTTTTACAGGTGTTCAAGTGCGAATGCCTTGGGTTACACGATTCACAACCAAGCGATAATTCAATTCTTGCCAAATGCAATCAAACATGGCATTGTCTGTATTTGCCAAGGCTTCAGTTATTTACATCTTCAGAAAAAAGTGGTTTCACAAGGCCTTTCACATATCCCCAGGGGAAGCATTCACATTGCGTGAAGTCTGGTGACCCAGGTGGTATTGTAGGGACACGCAATTAGTCTGTCCGTAACGTCCAACCCATCTGTCAGGCAGAGTGGTGTCCAAAAATTAAACTTAATTAAATTAAAATTAAATTAACAGAAGATAAACTACCACTTTTAGCTTTTAAATGGTACCATTCCAATCCTGCTACCATTTGTAGTTGCTGATATACATTATGTATACATTACACCACTCACACATCCAAACTTACAGCACGTATTCCTAAGTAGTCAGCCATCAAGCTACTGTCCAGGCTAGACGTTGCTTAACTTCGGTGAAATTACGAGAAACTATGTTTCAACGTGATATGGCTGTAAGCTCTTTATTCCAAGAGTATTTCCAAGCTTACAGAGCCTGGTATTCCAAAGCGGTCACCAATCTAGGTACTGACCATGTTCGACATTGCTTAACTTCGGTGATCGTACGAGAACCAATGTTTCAACCTGAAATGGCTGTAAGCTCTTTATACTACTCACACATCCAAGCTTATAGAACCTGTTATTTCCGAGCAGCCACCCATCTAGTTACTGACTAGGCTCGACGTTACTTAACTTTGATGATCAGATGAGAACCGATGTTTCAACGTGATATGGCCCTACGCCAGATAGGGAGTGAATGTAGGGAAAATAGGCGCCGTATATAATAAGCATATTAAGCCCCCATTTATTTGTACACCAGCATCACTTTATTGGCACTCTCATTCAATAATAACTAGAAATACTCATGAAGATTACACGGATTTCCTATTTTAATTTCCCGCAGAATCATAATTCTTAAGTTAATGATTGAATCAGCTCAACTGTACAAATTCGCTTATTGCACTGTTAATTAAATATTTGAGCTTAATAACTGTTGTAGCCTAGAGAAGGTTACTGAATAGAATAATCACACTAAGGTTGATAATGAACGATAATACTTAAGACAAGAACAACACATATAAGATTTGCCAGCGGCGCGTAGTAGTCAATTGCTAGAAGTGGGTTAAGTGAATTCCACAATGACTCTCCAATTGCAGACCAACATACAGTATTTACTACTGTATTTATGTGAATGAGGACATACTCATTATTGTCTGTAGGTATGCTACAACATTTACCTAAACAATAATAATATTAGTAATTAATGTATAATATTATCCATAACTACATGTACAATAATGTCGTTTTTGATAAAAGTTAAAAAAATAACCATAAATACATAAAAAATGTGTATAGTGTCAAAAATTCCTTTGTCCACAATATGGCTATTTGTGCTATGTTCTAGTGCTTATTACTATTGTAACTTATGGAAGGTTACTGAATAGAATAATCAAATGAAGGTTGGTAATAAATGATAATACCTAAGACAAGAACAACACATATAAGATTCGCCAGCGGCGCGTAAAAGTAGTCAATTTCTAGAAGTCAGTCAAGTGAATTCCACAATGACTCTCCAACTGCAGACCAACGTACAGTATTTACTGTATTTATGTGAATGGGGACATACCCATTATCGTCCGTAGGTATGCTACAACAATAACTTTAACAGAATATTGCAATAACAATCATAAATATGAATGCTGGTCGTTATTTAAAGAAGTAAGGGAGTACAAATGAAAAGATTTCAAATTGATAACTTTCCCATTTCACTAGAACAGTCGTTAAATTCATGAACGTGTTATAGCCTCTTTATTCGATTCTTTCTTTCATTTTCTCACTGAAACCAAGTAGCGTCTATGATATGTCTTTCCCGTCTCTCCACGTGATCAAAATGGAATAGTCCATTATTTACAAGATATTGGTAGGGTGTAACGTACGCACGAAGAGAAGGACAGGTAGAATTATATATAATATTATTACTACTATTAATAATAATGAGCTGTTTGCAAGTTCCACGACTACAAAATACCCGTGAAATTTCCCCTGTTGCATCGTTAAATATTTGAGCTTAAACACTTTAACAAAATATTGCAACAGCAATCATATGATTGCTAGTCGTTATTTAAAGAATTAAGGGGGGTACAAATGAAAAGATTTGAAATTCACAACTTTTTCTATTTCTCTAAAACAGTCGTTAAACATATGAGAGCGTTATAGTCTCTTCCAGCCCCCTCTTTGATTTTGTCACTGAAACCAAACGGTGTTTCTGATATGTCTTTTCCGTCTTTCCACGCGATCAGAATGGAATAGCTAATTATTTATAAGATATTGGCAGGGCGTAATGTACGTGCTAACTAAGGGAGGAACTGGAAGAATTATAATATGAGATTATTAAGAAGAAGAAGAAAAAGAAGAAGAAAAAGAAGAAATCTTTTGCAATCTATTCGCCCGAAGCGCGCGTAATATTACTCGGACATTGTGATTGTAGACATTCTAAACGAACCAATCCCAATTCGTAATGAGAATTCATCCACAAGCAATTACGAAAATGTATGTAGTTCGGTGCATTTCTTTAGTATTGTAGGTTTTCTCAACGATTCTTGTGAAATACTGCAGACCGTTTGCAATTAATGACATTCTTGTGAACTAAATGGCGGATTTGATTATAAAAATAAACATAAAATGATGACACGATGTTAAAATAGGTTAATAAAAACACACTGAATACAATAGAAAGCGGAGTAAAAAAGTTTGATGAGAAGAGGCAAATCATATTGTTACTTACTTTTCCAAAATCGTAGATACAAAATCGTGACTTCGGCCCAAATTGCCATTTGCATTGGACGTCTGCATCATATAATTCACCGGGCAATTTTGTGGGGAAATTAATTTCAGCCACAAACTGGGGAACATCGTCCAAACAAGAAGATTGAGGGGTGCTAGCAGAAAGAAAGAAAGAAAGACCGATAAAAAGAATAACTATTCTAGTTAAGTTCATATCTTGTGACGTAAACCTGTTCATATCTTTCCAAATGTCAAAACTGTATGTAAGATTTTATAATGTGTCAGCGTTTAAACAATGAAACTGATTAAAAGAAATCGTCAATGCTAAACTTTTCTGGATATATTAGGTTGGCCAGAAAGTCCTGACTCACTTAGGAAGTGGAAAGAAAACAACAAAATTTTATGGAGAAACACCAACATTTATTCTTCAAATTAAAGTCCATCATTCTCGACGAGCTTCTGCCAGTGATCAGCCAGCATCCAAATCTGTCCTAGATACCAGTCCGTTGGCTTTGAATCAAAGAACTATAAACAAGCTTCCTTCACTTCATCAAAAATGTTGAATCGTTGGTCTCGGAGGAAGTGTACCATTGAGCAGAATAGGCCATAGTCACTTGGAGCAACGTCGGGACTGAATGGTGGATGTGGAAGAATCTCAACATAGTCAATCTGGTAGAGTGTGGCCTCGCATTGTCTTGCTGAAACAAATTCCGACTTCGACTGACCAAAGCAGGATACTCTTTTAGTTTGTCGTACACGCGGTCTAGCTGCTAACAATACAGTTTAGCATTGATGGTGCGACGGCGTGGAACAAGCTTGAAATGCAGTACTCCTTGGAAATTCTACCAGACAGATCAAGATTTCTTTCCGCTTCCTAAGTGAGTCAGGACTTTCTGGCCAACTTAGAATTTATATTTATACAGGGTGTGTCCTTAAAGTCTGGACACATAGGAAATCTCATTAACTATATTTCTTTTACCTCCACATATTAAACATGGTTTTGTCGGTGAGAAGTAAGTTTCACTCGAACAGCTTCTTCCCGTCAACCACTGCCCTGTGGAACGGACTCCTGAGAGGATATTTCCCCGATCACTATAACCTTAACCTTTTCAAGTCTAAGGTTAACAGTTATCTTCCTCTCCCATCCTCTTAACGCAACCCTCTACCTAGAGTGGCACCCGGGCCTTGTACAGGGTGAATACCCCCGCCACCAAAATAATTAAGGTAATGTAGTAGGATCGTTGGGATATTAATTTGAACTACTTAAAACCCAATGGACATTAATATACATTTATATATACAAAAGCTGCAACGTGTCTATAAAAGTTTAGTGGACAAGTTCTCTGAACTCTTCAATCAGAAAAAAATATTGCTTTCTATGACAACGCCAGGCCGCATACAGCAAGCACAACACAAGGAAAAGATTTGGTTGGTTTGTTCAACGCCATCCACTATATTCACCTGACTTTGCCCCAAACGATTAGTACTTTTGTCGATCGTTGCAAAATTCCTTGATAGAGAAAACTTTCTCATTGGTTCATTGAAAACCTTTACACATCAAAAACCATGATAAGCGACAACAAGTCATTGCAAATAAAGGTGAATATATAATTGAATAAAATGCTATTATACTTCATTTTTTTTTGAAGAATAAAGTTGATAAACAAAAACAGAAATTATCAATATATATATATATATATATATATATATATATATATATATATATATAAAACTTTTTTTCCAATTTTTCATACTATATATATTATATAAATATAATTTTTTTTTATATATGAAGAACAGTTTTGGAGGAAAAATGTATGACAAAGTAGGAAAAATGTTTTCGTGTGACGCGATTCGTCTCTTAGGAATTTATTGGTTACTTTTGTTTACGTTGATGCAACTACGCATGCATACGAACAAGAGAGGCTGGGAATTTTAAATTAGGGAAAAAACAAGTATTTAGGTGTTTAGAGAATATAACAGGAGTGACCAAACTGAGCCTCGCGATCCACATTGGACTCTTTGACGTTTAATATGCGTCTCGTGGAAATACGTTGGCCAAGTTCCTTTTTTCATCACAGTTAATATAAAAAGGTAAATAAGAAAAATTTCAAGCTTTATAATTATTTACTGGGCATAATGAAGACCCCAGTGGATTCAAATATAAATTTAATGTTAATATAAACATTGTTAGGGCTTATACTGGATTCTATAGGTTAAACATTGTTAGGGTTTATACTTGAGTAAGTATGAGGTCGGGTTTACGGTTTAGTCCATAGGCAATCATTGGCTTTATTTATATTTCAGCCCGTAGAAAAAATTACTTGGGTTTATATTTGAGTATAGGCAAACGTTCTGTGTAGATGCAAAGTGATTCACTTAAAGAAAGCAACTGAATGACAATGTAGTTGTTTATCGCCTGGTGGAATGTATTCCAATAATGGATAAATATCCGGCGAGACACGGGAAACACTGGGTAACTGGAGCAGATGAAATAAATCACTACAAATTCATCAAACGCTGGTGCTGCGTCTGCTATCGAGGAATTTGAATTGATTAGTATTTCTATCTATAAAGATACCCAAACTTTCCTGATTCTCGCCGTGTGTGTGCGTGTGGATGTATGTGCGTTCTTACTTGAGAAACTGCATCATATAGGACTTGCTGCAGACTGACCATTCAAAGAGACCATCTTTGGCGACTAACTGAGGAGACATTATTTTGCCGACATGTTGTGTGCAAAAGTTACCCTCACCATCATGTAACATGCCGAAGCTGGAAAGAGAAGTGGAAAAAAAATTAGACGAAATAAAGGAAGACATGTAGAGAAAATAATTTTTGCGATCGTACAAGGTGCGGCAGAAATACATCCCACATTTTAATATGTCACCTGTGTGGTAGTATTAAACTTAGGCAAGTGACAATGGTGTCTTCATCTGGTTAATGTCTTGCTATTTTTTCTCAGATACGATTAGAATATATCGGTCAAACTCTTGTGTCACTAACAACAAAAATGGTTTGGTTTGGTTTGTTTTGTTTTACGGCATATCAACACCAATGGGTCAATTTAATGCCGACAACTTTTTTTTCTGGTAATATTTTTGTTTTGTCAAAAATCTATTTCTGTTAATATTTTTTCCTGAAAAATGTATAGCTGATAATATTATTTTTCCAAAAACGTACAGCTGGTAATATTTTTTCAAAAACATATTGCTGGTAATATTTTTTCTTTATTTCAGGCAATAATTTTTTTACAAAGTATTTCAGGCATTAAAACCTATTTTTACACTTTTATAATGCCTTTTACCTCAGTTTCTGGATTAACTATTTGCCCATAGCTGGGACCCGGGGTGGTAGCACCTGTTACACCAGCAATTAAGAGGAGGTTCCACGCTCCTCAAAGCCTCCTGATCAGAGGCCTTGCTGTTGGAGGTAGTTTATCGTCATACCCGGGATGTCCCATTGGGGGGAGGGGGTCTTACCCCTCTGCAGAGGTGCAGTCGGAGTATTCTACAGCCCCAGCCGACAGGGCTACAACAAAAATGGAGACAGTTGCCTGAAATATATAGTGAAAATTGCAAACGCTTCATTTAAGAACTTTATTCAATCTACGAAAGTAGAATATATATCGGTTAAAATATGCTAACACCAAAAAAAAAAAGAAAAAAACGGAGACAATAGGCTGAAATGTGTGTATACTCTCTCTCTCTCTATATATATATATATATATATAAAGTTGCAAAAGATTCATTGAAGATTTTAAGGAAATTTAAACGATATAGGGATGCTAGAGAATATATCAATCAGAATATTTCATTAACAGCATCAAAGATGAAGACAATAGTATAAAGTATATATAGAAAAATGTAAAAGCTTCATTTAAACTCTTTAATACGGGAAGGCTAGACTATATATCGGTTAAAATATTAAGTTAAGGGCAACAAAGATGAATAATCTGAAAATATATAGAACAACGTAAATGCTTGAGGCAAAGCAGGAAGGCCGGAGAATATATCGACCAAGACGTTGTGTTAATGACAACAAAGATAAAGAGAGTAACTCGAATATAGACTAATGAAAACAATTCATCTTTGAATTTCAGAAAATTAGTCTATTTCTCACTCTACAACGCGCAGGCTTTACAAAGGAGTTCCTGCTTCCCTTGACTCATTTAAACCCCAGGTAGACACTCCCGCCTTATCATAATAACTGTACAAGCACTGTAATATTTGTATATTTATTTTTTCAATAAATGAAGAAACATTTGAAGGTGTTTCGCGTAAAGACGTTCAATAAATTTATATATTTATTTAAAGAGGCTTATTATATGCTGGCAAAATACAAAAAAAAATTCTTTAAAGCAGATATAGTATTTAGTTGCAATTGTGTTAAAAACGAGATAGATGGATATAATATCCCGAAAAATGGATTGTTATAAAAGAACAAATTAAAAAGTCAATAAAAAAACAGCGGCAAAAATAACCGTCTTTAAACGCAGCAAACAGAGAAAAATGAATAAAAGCAGACGATCGTTTATTCTTCAAAATACTGCATCATTTAAATTTTGCATAAGAGAAAATAACTTGGGAAAATGTCAAAATGGTGGACGTAAGATGAGAGAAAGGAATTTAAGTGGAGTGTGTAGGGTGGTCGTGTATCTCACGTTTGTACTGCCCACACCGTTTTACCCGAGTTTTGTATGTAAGGTCCTTGTAAGTTTTCGGGAGTAATTACTAGTCGTAATTTCTAAAATAAGATGCAAGTTATCTGATTTGTAAAAGAGCCTGACATATCGGATATAAAAAGTTCAGGATGTACAGAAAATGTTGCTAAAGGTGTTAAACTCGCTTTGCTTAGAGTCTATCTATATTTCTGAGATGAGGTATTATGTACAGTATTTACATTAGTCGGACTATTGTCCTCATCTTTGTCGCCATATTTGTCACAACGTTTCGGCCGGTGGTTGGAATTTCGAACTGAACCCTTTATTTCGCTCACTGGGGTAGACTGTTCTAGTTCCACGTGCCATGTTTGATGGATGTCAGTTATCAGTTATCTCCTGCTAATTTTCCCTCTGAAAGTTCTCCACTGCCTTAACCAGGTATTGAACTCACCTTCTTTGGGTCTGTCACTGGATCTAACCAACGCTTTTATCCACTGTGCCATGTGTCCTTGCTTATAAACAATAATGTGACTGGTTTCTCGTTTCTGAGACCACACGTCTATTCAGGCCCATTTCTATTTCTTTAACACCCATAGAGCCAACCTGTAGTTTATACTGCAACAACGCTGAGAGGATATTAGTTAGAGTTTCTAGGTGGGAGCGCAAAATCTAGCATGATCAACAATTTCGGACAAGGCTAGCACGCCCAAACTCTCGGTCACGATGACTTGTCTCTTCTGGTCTAGCTTTCGAACAGTATTTTCTATTCTATTTCACCTATAAGTCTTGGGTTGCTCCGTGGCATTGTTTTCGATATTATCAAGGCTTACGGATATATTACGTTGAAACACCATTTCCCGTACGATCTTCGAAGTTAATCAACATCGAGCCTGGTCAGTACCTAGATGAGTGACCACTTGGGTGTATCAGGTGCTGTGCGGGTGTTGTGCAATGGATAATGGTTCGAGGTTGTTAATCGAAGAGTCCAGTTCCAATTCGGTTCGTTATATTTACTGATGCGTAAATACCATTGGGAAAGGTATGAATCCTCCTATTCTTCTCCAGTTATGGGTTAATTAGTACGACTTGTCCCACTAAATCATTATCTAAAAAAATCTTAAAATTTAAAAATATTTTCTGGCTTAAATAACCTGTAAAAAAACGGATCAATTAAATCGATATTATCAAAAGTTGCCTCCTTGAAAAATCGACCATGGTGAGATTCGAACTCAGATATCATTCTAACCACTTGGCCTATATGAGCAATGCTAAATTATTACTATCTTTTGTTCCCCGCTACGTATGTATATGTAGGCGTGTGAATAGACAGAAACAGATAAATATGAGGCTTGCAGCATAGCATAGGAACGAATGTGACCCATGAAATTACCGGTGTGTCATGCTAGCTAATTCCTATTTATATTATCTCTTTGTACAATGGGATGCTCATTATAGTAACAGCAACAAACGATCCCTGATTATCGAACGCCAAGACTGAAGGGCTCCAACAGCCCTCATCTTTACTTGGAGAGAAGGGATAAGTGGATTCAAGCCTTACCCAAAACGACTTGGTAGACAGAATCCATTCATCATACCATTAACCATTATCCTATTTGCGCGTTCATCTCGAACAACAAATATATATATATATATATATATATATATATATATATATATATATATATATATATATATATATATAGAAAGCAATCCGGACGTGTTGACAGGGTTCCGAATTCAGTTTTGCCTTTCTCGTATAATGGTTGCCTTTAATAAGGCTAAAAAAGTGTAGTGCACCCTACTATTTTACAGACAGATTCAAGCGGAAAGGATGCATATCTTTCCCAAGAGCAAGAGCAAAAATAAAGAGCAAAGCGAGCACAACAACCTCAGCTGGAATTTCAATTTAGCCGGCCGACTTCATTTTCGGTGCCGATAACTGTGACGACACACGTATATATATATATATATATATATATATATATATATATATAATTTCATGTGTGTGTGTCTGTGTGTGTGTATTTGTTTTTCACAGTTTTTGAAACAAAATGATCGGGCACAAATCAAGGACCACAAATGATACAGTAATAGAAATTACATTTATTGAAAGGTAAAAGGTTAACAGTTTAGGATCAACTACCATTTAGCCCCCCACCCCCCAAAAAAAACATGAACCGAAAATATCAAGAGGAGCCCTAAAATATATGCTCTAGATGCCCGCCGTTCAGAAAATTGGGGGGTGGGGGTGGGGTTCAAGATCAGGCGAGTGAGGTGCCCATTCAACTTCAGCTTTGCGGCTGATGAGACGCTCCCCAAATTCGACAAAATTTAAAAACGTGTCCGTAATGCAATCAATCCTGACCTAGCATCTTCAGTCATTTTCTCACCAACATGACATGGCTTCCCTCTGTATTTTCTACAAATATTTTCATGGCAATTTTTCCCTTAGTACCTCGATTGTATGAATTTAACCTTTTTCATACCAGAACCTGCAGAATTTTACTCGAAGGTTATCAAAGATCTTCCTTATAAGAGGCAACCAATCATTGCAAATAATGGCGAATATATATTTGAATAAAATGTAATTGTACTTTACAGGGTGTTTTAGAATTTTTGAAACAAAATCATCGGGCACAAATGACCACAAATGATAGAGTAATAGAAATTACATTTATTGAAAGGTAAAAGGATAACATTTTAGGATCAGCTACCATTTAGCCGAAAAAAAACATGAACCGAAAATATCAAGAGGAGACCTAAAATATATGGTCTAGATGCTCGCCGTTCAGAAATCTAGAATACCTGCTCTAGATGCCAGCCGTTCAGATGAAGGCACGGTTGAATCCAAAGTTGTTGTTAACGCGCGCACATTCCGCCTGCATGATCGCTTGAATATTCTCAGTGATGGCTGCCTTCAAAGCAGCAATGGTGCGCGTGTTAGATGTTGTCTTTTGAGGAACCCCCGCGAGGAAGATATGTGTATGATTCAAATCAGGCGAGTGAGGTGCCCATCCCACTTCAGCTCTGAGGTTGAAGAGACGCTCTCCAAACTTGCCACGGAGCCAAGCCATTGTAACAATAGCAACCACTGTTCCTCCTCATCAAGTTAACTCACGCTCCTGGAGCTCTTCCTATTTGAGAGGCCGCTGCTTTGTTTCAACAATTGGGAAACACTATATATTACACTAACAACAATAAATATACATTTTCCCACTCATACAGAAATCCTTAAGTAATGATTGAAAACTGACCATTGTAAAATATACAAGTGGAAAATAGATAAATATCGCCCAAAAATTTAGTTATTTATTACATGAAACTTCTGGGTGAATTGTACCAAATGGTGACGAATATATATATTTGAAAAAATATAGTTTTAAAGTGTACTTTATTTATGGATAAAGTGCTCAATATCAGAGATAGAGCGTCTGTAAATATAAAAGTGAACAGTGATGTCAACACTCAGAGGCAACAGGCTGTTTTATGCTTGACGCAATCGTCAGGCCACGTATGTTGTTTTTTTTCCGACTATTTATATATACCGGTCAGTGGCGCATTGTGGGTAGTCCATTCTAGCGGCTATTTTGGCGGCAGTGGTTTGTTTATTTCTACTTTATAGTAATTTGTATTTACTCAAAAACGAGGTCAGGTTGTGACACAAGGTCGGTTTAATGTGGGGAGCCCGAGCGCGTACACCCGGGCGAGAAACAAAAATTCCCCGAGCTCCCGCAATCGACGGTTGCGTTGGCCTCGGTGCGTGCAACGATCCTTCTTTCTAGTGCAATGAGAAGGCGCGGCCTCGGGCAGCTGTTCCCCAGGGCCGGCACCTCCCAGTATAATTTTCCTTAGTTGCGACTCTGTCCTTTGACGGAATCGCCCCCGAGTTCACTCTGGATGCAAATGAAAGATGATAAAGAGATGTGTTGCAAACTACTAATTTACACATTAAAAGCTCAATATCTGTATTATATATTATCGACTTCTAGACAATATCACACTTCAGGTTTAATTAATTTGCATATTGATTTTAAGGAAAGTTTATTTCATTAATTAACTATCCTTCATTACTGTCCTTTTATTCGAGGACTGTTTTGATTTTCATATAAAAAAATAATTCTGTTTAGGAATAGCATATAGTGCAGAAAAGTGTTTGAAATTGAATTTTACTTGGCATCTATTTGTAAAAATGTGCTTAACAATAACGAGCCAATTTATGAATGAAATATTCATTTAAAATTTGTTTCAAAGATTTCAAGTAGTGACTATATCTTACTTTGCGAAGCGATAGCGAGTGAGCGATGCCTGCTAGTATATATATATATATAACATCCTGTGTACATGGGCGTACATAGATACGCGTAATGATGATGTTAAAGACAGATTCTTGGCAAGCGAGAATCTTCATCGGCTAAATGAATATATATTATAATGAAATGCATATATATATATCCTGTGTAAATGTGCCTGTATGGGCGTGCATAGACAAGCATTATGATGTTAAAGACAGATGCCTGGCAAGCGAGATTTTTCACCGGTTAAATGTATCTGCAGTTGATGAATATATTTAAAGGCTCTGTTCTGACGTTTTAAGAGATATCGTTTCTTTTTGTTCTGCATTTAATTTTGGAGTTAGGACTTCTAATACCTGGAGGTATTTTTTCTGTTTTAAACACAGAACACGTTAAAAATTTAAGATTAAGGGTTCTAATATTTGGAGTGATTTAGTTACATACGTGTACGTGTATTGTTTAGGAATATTTTTCTTATGCTATGGAGGTACCATTGTTTAATAATCTATGTTTACCTATATATGCGCGAACTGCACTGTGGTTGTTGACGTGGCAGGTTAGCCTACGGCCTAGAATAGTTGTTGCATACACAATGTACAAATTTAATTACTTACACTATTTACATGCGGACTATTGTCCCTATCTTTCTTGTTATTACTACGTTTCGGCCGATGTACCCCACGGCTTTAATTAAGTGTAATACACAAACCAACGCTTTAATCGACTAGGCTATTGTCCCGTATGATAACCTAGTGAATTAAGGCGTTGGTTTGCGGTGACATAGTAATTGTGAGTTCAATCCCTGGACCGCACAGTGTGTACTTAGACTCGGTGGAAACAAGCCGAGCAATAACTGAGCAGTACTAAAAATAAGAACTAGACGAGATATTCCTCGACATGGGAAGTGGAACGAGAACAGTCAACACGTTTAGATAAATCGGATCACTATACATCTGATGAAGGTCGGAGGGCACAATGGCCGAAGCGTGATAACAACAAAAAAGATGAGGACCATAGTCTAAATATAAATAGTGTAAATAATGATAACTCCTCATCCCAGAAATTCAGACAGAATGCAATCAGGTGATAAAAACAACAAAGATGAGGACCATAGTCTAAATATAAATAGTGTAAATAATGATAACTCCTCATCCTAGAAATTCAGACAGAAGGCAATCAGGTGATAAAAACAACAAAGATGAGGACCATAGTCTAAATATAAATAGTGTAAATAATGATAACTCCTCATCCTAGAAATTCAGACAGAAGGCAATCAGGTGATAATAACAACAAAGATGAGGACAATAGTCCAAATATAAATAGTGTAAATAATAACTCCTCATCCCAGAAATTCAGACAAAAATTACTAATTTAATGTTTTAGTATCACTGAAGATACAATCCCTGCAATGGACAAAAGAATTCGTGTTTATATATAATTACCTATTTTCTCCAGTTATTGTAGAACTCAGTCATTCCGAGCCGCTATCCACTACACCAACACCCCCACTATATTTATGAAGAAGGGGAATTATCGAGGAATCTGCAAAGTTGATTTCTATGTCCACATTTTTCATATCTTCTTTGCAATCCCCAAAAGAACTTGGAAGAATATTTTGAAAAAAATAAAGGTTGAAAGATGCTGC